TGTGTGTGTGTGTGGTGGGGTGTGTGTGTGTGTGGTGTGTGTGTGTGTGTGTGTGTGTGTGTGTGTGTGTGTGTTGTTGTGTGTGGTGTTGTGTGTGTGTCTATGTGAAGGCCATGGAGGCAAAAAGAGGTAGATATGCGACATAGTGAAAACACTCACTGGCAACTGGAAGACTCCTATACAGCAGAGGATAAAGAGCCACAGTCACAGCTGTGCAAGGAAAACAAACTGCATATGGTAATTTCTTATACAGTAGGTATAGTATATTTGAATATACCAGAAATATATCAGCGCTACATCTGGTTACATATTAAAACTTAGCTTGTGTTAGCGCAACTATTTGCATGTAGTAAAGAGGAGAGACAGTTAACCAACCATGTTTTAAGCCCAGAGAAGACAAAGATGTAAAGATGTAAGTGAGTTGGATAATGTACTGTACAGACTAAACACTGAAACCATCAATCCCTGTCACTGCTGATGTTTGTATTGTGGACCGCAGGAGTGTCCTGATCATCAAAATGCAGACAGGAATCTGCTGTCCACCCAGGATGAGTGTGAGACACTTAAGAAGGAGATCTGTGAGACCCTTAAATGCCTTGACAAAGAGCGCAGGTAACAGGCCCGTAATGTTGCTGCCAGCTGAAAAACTCTCCAATATTCAAACTAATCAGAAACTACAAAACACAATATTGTCTTAGACCTAATAAGCTGTTACTTTAATTTCATCCAATGATTTCACTTTCATCCTGTAGAGGTCACTGAAAACTTTGACAGCGTGTCCCTATATGGTATAATAATAAACAGAATATAATAAGAATAATAAACAATGTCTAACTTTCTTTTTATATTATAGATTAGATTATGAATAATATGATTATGTTTTATGTTTTATGTTTGTCCATCTGTTTACAGTAAATACTATGAGATGAAGGAAAAACACAAGGCCAAACTGTTTTGGGCCAAACAAAAATATGATGATGAAACCACGTGGCGAGATGAGAAGATAAAGAGTATAGAGCGAGAACTGTCTCTGTGTTCCCATTCATTGGCAAAGGTAAATTTGCAGATGTGTCCTGCTTTACTCAAAAGAAACCATATTGTTCGAGGAGGGACTTCAGACTTCAGATCACTGCAATTCTCAATGTATCTATATATATATATATATATATTTTTTTTTTTAAATGTATCTGGTTTATTTTACATATAAAATTGTATCATAATTACTGTTATGTAAAGATTTCTCCTCGTTTTTGAATTCACTCGATGGTTTTCAACATCACTTTTTATCCCGACCCACATTAACACATATTTACTCAGCTTATTTTTCCTACTGTATGTACAGTATGTTATATTGATTCAGTAACCATGGTCACAGACTGTCTGGCAATGTGTAATTTTTGTATTGACACAAGTCTCAGTATAGCCTGTTTTCAGATAAATGAGATGATATGAAACTGGGGCTGATAAATTATCTTTGTAATTGAAATGTTTTTTCTTTACCAGGAGAAAGAGCTCGTCACAAGTATAACTGCAGAAAATGAGAAACTACTTGTTGAGAGGACGAGGTTGTTACAACAGCTGAACGAGGAAGAGCACAACAAGAAAGACAGTAATCTAACAGCTGCTTTGTCCAAATGCAGGTATTGAACTTACACAGTCGGTCAACACGTCACTGCATGAGTCCAGACATGATGTTCAAAGTAAATAGCAAAAGTAATTTAGGTAATATGTGTTCACTGACAAAGAGGAGATGTTTATTTTGATCTTCAGGGTGGATTTTCTAGAGATGGAAAACAAGAAACTGGGAAACAAAATACTTCACATGTCCAATCAGCTGGCTGTCCTGGAACGAACCCTACAGAACATGCAGTCACTTCACTTTGCTGAGGTACTGGGCACAGTTAAACCTGCTTCATCTCTGGATCTAGAGTTGCTGGTGATGGTACGGCTGTAGTTTTAAATGCCAGCAACCCTGTGAGACTGTACTGCCTCATAGACATCCTCAGCAGGTCTCCAAAGTAATTATGTGTCACCCTCTGGGAAAAATACATGTCTGTACTGAATTGAATATATTTGTCGAGATAGTTGACCGTAAAGTGGAGCTTTGATTATGCTGAAATTGTTGAGTATTTATCTAACGAAGATGTTTGTTTTGTTTTATTAGGAATTGAAGAAAATATATAATCCTCAGCAGATCCGTACATCGCACTCTGTGCAAACTTCAAGGTAGGTCTGACCACAGCTCAGAACTTGATCAAAACCAATTTGTTTGGTAAAATAAAACACCATTAAATGTTTGTGAACTTTGGTTGTGTCCCTAGTGTGATGATGCCTGAGCCTTCTGAAATTCAGACCTTATGGGACGATACTCAGAGCGGTCACGCCAAGCAGCCACGTGTGACTTCTTCCCCACACTGTTTGATCTCTGCGGCCCTGTCTCGATCGGCAGAGATGGGTTACCTGAACCTGACCTCTGCTCAGAACCGCTCGGACCAATCGGCTTCCCCGGCTGTCCTCAGCAGCTCAGAAAGTTCAGGTTCCTGAAATGTTCTATCTGCAACATGAATATACTGTTTACTGTATATTATATACTGTCTGTTTTATTTGTGAGTAAATTAAATAAATAAATAACTGAAGAATTTCCTTTTGCTCTGTAAAATTCATTTTCACTTGACTTTTTAAATTTACTCTCAGCCCAACAATCTCTCGACCTGGCCTTCCCACGTATGTCACAACTTGGCAACAGTTCTCCATTTCGAATAAATGATGATAGATGATAGTTACTGTTAGTTACAGTCATAATGAAAATGAATCCACATTTTATCTTATCTAAATATAGACTTGAAACATGTCTGTGGTCTGTGTTCACTGACTAATGGGAAAGACATATGTGCCTTCACACAGTGTAACTCAGTTTCAGTTTTATCTTTATACTTTTTCTGGTTTTCTTCTTTGCACAAACTCAAAACAAGTTGTTTTACACAGCACTCTGGGGCCAATTCTCGTGGTGAAGCTACAGTTTATGTAGACGTATGTATGGTGTGTAGTGAACAGTCATTTGACCAGTCAGTCTCTTGGTCTGTTTAACATATAAAGTCCTAAAAGGCATTATAATAGACAGCAGCTACATTTCAGTCAGTGACAGTTTCACACTTTGCCTCTTAAAAAGAAAAAGGCGACAAGGTATTTTTGTATATTATACATGTATTTCTCCTTGAAAGAGTCTACAAAAATGTACATTGCCACAAGTATCCAATAATTGTAGAGAAACACTTTAAACACTAAACACAGGTATTGTTTTTTGTAGAAAAAAGCAGGCCCTGCAGGTGTGGCCGTGTCTCCACCTGCAAAAAATGCAGCTCAGAAGAATGTCAGCCACACTTCTGCTTAAAGAGTAAGGTTACAGTTAGAACACACATTGCATTTGCAATCAAAATGATCAACATTATCAACATGATCAATTGATTACGTGCTGTTTAGAATTGAATTAAAAATACAAAATTACAGAAATAAACATAATAAACTAATTTAAGTTTTGAAAATTAAAATGGACACTTCAAGAAAGAAGCAATCAGCAAATTTACAAGACAGTTAAAACTAATGAAATGTTCAGTAGCCAGGGCATCATCATCATCATCATCATCATCATCATCATCATCATCATCATCATCCAAAGTGTGAAATGCAAAGTAAACTAAATATAACCTTTCAATGTTGATCGAGCTCTAACGGTTTGTCTATGCAAATCAAATGTAATGTGAACCTGGGATTTTACAGTTTACATGTTACAAATCAGGTTTCAGTGTTTTACTGTACGTATCAAAATGAATAAACGTCAGAAATGAAACTGGGGCGGCTGACCCAGTTATCCCCGGCAGTGAACAAGCAAAAAAAAAAAAAAAAGCGGTTTCACCTTTCAGGCCATCGTCTTCACAAACAAGCTCATAAGACACTATGAAACTCTACACATCTTTGAGAAACAAAAGAAGCCAGTGTCTTGACTGTAGTTATGAGATAAATGCAGTCACTGTGTCTGTTCTTCGCTCCTTTTAAGCCTGGTTTCTGAATGAATAAACGTAAAGCTTCACTGACATAAAGCTGCTCTGTTGTTAGACATTGTCAGACTATGAACAATTTCCACTTTAATCTTCATCTGAACTTGAAAAGTACAGACCTGATTAACAAGGTTTGTGTTGTATCATGTCAGCTAGCCCCATTTTAATCAAACCCTTTAATTAGAGCAACTTAAAAGACGTCACTCTAATGACACACTGACATCCTGGAAGCTGCAAATCTGTCTGAGATTCAGACATGTTAATATGACTTTGACATTAGTACCATGGTTACAGAAGCAAAGAGGAGCAAATTGTTTCCCTGATTAGGATCATGGAATGGGTTTATGAACTCCCTGATCAAATAAGTTACATTTATTCACAGATATAAATGTAACTTGATTCAAACAATAAAGGCAGTCAAACATTTAAACATAAATATACAATCACTAATGCAATGCAGAAAAAACTAACCAAGATATTCTCTACTAGATTCTGGTTGCAACTAAACTGTACCATAGTCGCATCTAAAAATAAATTTAGATTTAAAAAAAAAAAAAAATCACTACCTGAAGAGCAAATAACTCGTTTTAAAGTTGCTATGTTGCCACTTAATTAATATTAACACACTTTAACTGATGGAAACAATAACACACTTAATTTGTTTAGCAATCAAAATATTTTGTTTGTTTTTTTTGTCTGTTTGTTCACCACATAATGTTACACACACACTGAAGCAAAGCCAACATTTTCATACATTTACCTGAGTCAAACAACCCTCACAAAACCCTCTGAAAACGCAGGCTGTCACTCCAACAGAAAAATGAATCCCAAGAGAACAAAAGAGCCATAAAAGTAAAAGAACCTCAGGGCATAATGTTTGTCAGGTAGTTTTCACACTGTTACCAAACATAGTAGGTGATTTTGCATTTTAATATATAATACACACTAGGGTGTGCGTAGTTTACCATAATGTTTTGGTGCCCACACTAGTCGGGTGACTCGTATGTCGCCTCTGTAGCCGATACTGGTGTCCCAGCAGTACTCAGGAGAGAGCACCCTGCTTGGCTTGTGTAACCACAGGTATTTGTTTAGATGACTCTCATCGTGCCACAAAGCCTCCACGTTATTCTGTTTATCCTCCATGATGCTCTGGTAGCAGGCGTCAGTCAAAGCTTGCACACTTTTCCACGAGCCTCCAAAGACGGCAGCGTGGTAGTAGAAATCCCCAGTTTTCATGTATGCTTTGGACTTCGGGTTGCTGTCATAGGTATAAAATGTCTTTGGAAGGTGGTAGTAATAGGCGTGGAGCAGAGCCACAGAATCACCCAGAGCCTCTGAGCCAAATCTCCCAGTAAACACCTGATCCACGTCAAAGCAGAAGACGTGCGTGCGGTGATGGCGAATATCCGACTCTATGACATCTGATATAGCCTTCATTCGCATCATGGAGATGTCCTGCCACCTGGAGTACCTCTCCACTTTGATCATCTTCAGGCTTCGCTGAGGAGCAAGCCTGATGTCTGGCACCTTTTCCGGCAAGTCTGTAAACACATAATATGTCACCGGCAAACCCGGCATAAAGTGACGTTCTGATGAGTTCAGGAAGGTCTTGAGGTAAGCATCCAGGTACCTTTGATGGGAGGTGGACACAAGAGCAGTTCCATGCTTTATTCTTATATCCCTACAGTTGCAGTAAATGCACTAAATAAAATGACAGCTGATTGAACAGATTATAGGTGTGTTAGGGAATGACAACAGTTTACCGCAACGGTACTGATGTGAAAACAAACCTGCCTACAGCAAACACAGTTAGAGCCACAGATGATCCTGACTTCTTGTGCATCTGGTCGTAAAGATCAGGATCAAACATCCTCTCCCACATGATGGGAGCTTTCCAAGATGTGCATGTTTGCACGTCGTGTCTGGACCTGAAACAAAAGAACACTGTTTAAAGTTTAAACCACAGGTGTCAGGCTCAGCAAATGATTTCTAAGAATTTTGTAGTGGTTGTGCTGTCTCTATGTTTGCCCTGTGATAGACTGGCGACCTGTCCAGGGCGTCCCCCGCCCTCGCCCAATGTCATCCTGTAGGAATGATGACTCAGTTTGAACAATGATCTGATTGGTTGGTAGTTGGCGTTGTTGATATGGTATAATGAATGTATGTAATATATTGGATGTGCATTACATGATTTAAATGAATGTGCTTAGATGGACTGTGTGGGTGCGTGTTAGAACAGAGGAAATGTGAAGTGGGTAATTGGTATTGGAAGGTGTGCATATCATTAATATAGAATAACAGGAAACCTGGAACCCCCCACCATGTCTCTTGAGAAAGGGCAGTGGAAAACCGTGTCTGAGTGTGATGGTATAAATATCAGTGTTGTTCTAGCCGGTTCAGTTTCTTTGCAAATAAACTCATTCGAATCCACAAGTCGTAGTTTCAGTCTCATCTATCACCCTCTCGGGGCCATGACATTGACAGGTTTTGATCTGAAGTAGGTCAGCTGTGCCACCATGGTGATATACCCCGGTTATCATGGCGATCCCAGTTAAAATTGAACCAGCTCCATGATACCTGAAAACCTGAGTTAAATGTCAAAGATAACTGGATAATCCCTTCATCTTTTTTGTTGTTGCTTTTGTTGAAATTCCACTTGTATGATCAAACTTTAGCTTCTCAGCACATCAAACCAATACATCTAACCTCAGGTTGGAAAAATCATAAACTGAAAGTGAGACAAAACTTATGGTCTTACCTGAGGTCAAGGGTGGCATCCACACTGTTGTCCAGAATCAGACTCTTTCCACTTTTCAAATGGCATTTGTCCATAGGTAGGAGGCCTATTAAAAGGCTGGTGTAAAGATAAAAACTACTCAAACTACATCCTCCAAAATGATCATTAAATTTAATTAGCACCTCATAAAAATTGTTTAAAACAAACTGAATACTGTGATCTTCATGAAGATCGGATTTATTGCAAGAATGTGGCACTAGACTGCATTAGCTTTAGTTAGCCATTCCTAATAAACTCATGTGTAGGCGTGTGTGGTGTCTCCTAAATTTAAATACAGATTTGTTTTGGTACTCACTTGAAAGATGTAGAGGTGAAGTAGAGAACACACAGCGCAATGGGAAAACAAAGCACACACTTTGAAACACTCTTCGTCTTCTGAACAACTCTGCAGGAATAAAGACAAAACAGTCACATTAAACTGGAAACAATGAATCTTAATTCAGAAACTTATGCAAGACCAAATGTTTTTTTAATAGTATTGATAAAGAATTTGTTTAAAAAAAAAGAAAAGACATAAGCTAACCCCATTCTTGAAAAATGCCGGCATCCAACTTCAGTAGACTGAAATCAGCTGTAGATTCACTAAGAAAATGGGAACTGAGAAAAAAGGACACCTGTTCAGAATGATTTTGTGTACAAGTTCACCAGTTGTGATTCACACATTACCGATAGGCTATCATTTGATTTTTTTTTAGGTACTGGTGCTGATTCAATACCTCAGTTTTAGCATCAAATCCAAAATTACATTTTATTTCCTACTTTTTCTGCAAAACACTTAAAAACACTTTGCAAAAAGACTTAACACAAAACAGTAAACTCAATAAAACAAACTCACACAAAATGAAAACATCTCTATTAAATTAACTAATACATTAGGGTCCCTCCATACCAACTCACCTAGGACCTCACAGTTAATGTCACAGATCTACTCGAAAAATTCATGTAAAAATGTCCATTTAGTTATCAATTTTTGAAGTTTGGCCCTCAAACCTAAATTTCATAAATCACAAATTTTTTCAGTGATTGGGTTTGAATTTGTACTAAACACCCAAAAAAACTCAAAAAGGACAATTTGCAACATCATGTAAATAGTTTGTTGCTGAATGTTTTACAGTAACCAAATGAATTAAAAAAAAAAAAACTGTGTAAGTGTATTCCAGATATTTAAACATTATTTCAGACACTATATCTTTCATAGGGTTCAGGGAATTTGCATGTTACAGTTTGTAATGACTTGGTATGCTGTGCACCAGACGATGTCATCTCCTTTCATGTGTCTGGCTAAAATATTAATCTTAGTTCTTTTGCTACACGTTGTATGTCAGCCTTTTTCTGAACTAATTTCACAAGGGTAATGATGTTAAACAAGAAGTGCTTGCAAACACATTTTGCGATCATTGAGTGAACTATTGTAAAATGTAGTTTCAGTATTCTTGAAACGGAGTATGTGACTTGGAGTTTTGAAGGAATCCGTCTGGATAAGGCTTTTTGCAGAAGCGATGAAGATGCCACAACAACCAGGTGTTGGCTATAAGCCAAACGAGTTGCACCAAAGAATCAAAGACTAAAACATCATCCATTTTTGACCGAATAATCTCTCGTCTTATACATTTTTCGTGAAATCCTCAACGCCCTAAGATGTAACTGAACACGTTAATACCTAATTCTAAGTCAAACAAAAAGATATAGTTTATTAAACGAACTCTTTAGCTACAGCCTACAAAATCTTCAAAGTAAGATGAAAGGATTTGGTGACCCACCTGTGCGTCGCTGTCAAAAGTACACTTCCATAACTCATCCAAAATATTCGCAGGTCAAAAAATGATCCTGGCTTTTGTGTAAGGTTCACACAGGCTGACCATTTCGGCGTTGAAACCTGAGGTGTTCTGAGACTTCAGGCCTAAATGCAAAGGGAGTGGCTCTTTTCAAATGTCTTCTGAGCTTCAGATTCCTGATAAAGCACATAGTCCCGGTGTTGATGGTATTTTCCCGTATGGTTTGGCTGCAGCACACATACAACAGGAGTAGGTGTACCACATTTCTTTTGACCAATAACCTGTATATGTAGTTAGAGATTACTTGCCTTTTTTTTTTTTTTTGCACCTGTAGCCATGTTGAAACTGCACTTAACTAGGACAGGGACAACTAATAAAAAATGCACCAAAAAGTGAAGTGTTTTTATTAGCTGCAGGGTCAAATTCTGAAAAAAAATTAAAAAAAGCTTTACGCACAAGCCTCACTGCAAACACAAAGGATAATGGTAAAAGTCAGAACAGCTGATGTGTAGGGTAAAAGAAAACCTGTGTAGCACACACATGCATAGAAATGAGTTTTCTTGCCCAGAGAGCCCTCCGGACACGCCCTGAATCCAATTTGAATATTAATGTCTTCCCCAATGAGACCAAACGACAACAGGCTAACAAGAATTTACTAATTGGATGATCATGCAAAAAAAAAAAAAACCCAAGAAAAAAAAAAAGAAGCAATGTTGGTAATGAAGGTAAAGTTTAAAGTGTATTCTCATACACTTTAAACTTTACCTGTTGTTTAGTAGTAACCCACAGAACTCCTGAAGTTTAGACCCGGTGTAACTGGAGTTCCAGGTACACCAGATCTATACAGCTAAGATCAATTCACTGATTTCTAGCATTTCAGTTCTTTTCCCTTATACTTTCTTGACAGGTGTCACTTTTTTCTTTCCTTTCCTATTCATTTTGATGCCAGAAACAAGGTTACTGATTATCTGACAAATACAACAACCAGTTGTTAGTTAACACATGCCACAACTCCAGTGCCTGCAGTGGTCAGTTTGCCAGTAATGTAGAAGTCACATAAACAATCTAAACATTGCATTTCATGTGGAAAATGCGTGTGAATGCTGAAAGCTGTGGGACAATGCTGTAGTGATGCTGAAGATTAAAAGGAGAATTTTTAAGCTGAGAGCCGAATTGCATGAAATGGTCGAAAAAGAGCTGAATTGTTGAAGCAACTTAGAGAAATGGTAGACAGAGACTGAAAAGTGAAGTAAAAATTGCACAATATTGTACACAAGGGTCTCACTCTCGTCTCATCTCGAAATTTTGTCTCAAAATGTCAGAGAAAAGAAGTTAAAATCCAGAAAAATATAAATGTTTCAAGTAGTTTTGCATAAAGCAGCAGTAACTCTGCAGACAACAGACAGGAGGAGCAGAGGAGCAGAGTGGGTTCAGGAGCTCGCACAGCTCGCAGTGCAACTCCCAGTGAGTCCAGTATAAACACCAGTGAAGTTTCACATTATAAGCGTAAGGCAGAAGACAAGGGGAAGCTTGTACAAGTTTGTTTACGAGGATAATGTTCGGTAGCTTCATTTTCTACTGTTATCATCAGAAATTCTAATAAGCCAATTTAAGTCATCAAAGTCTCTGTGATCGGTTAAACAGAAATGTTTCAGACCAGTTGAACAGCTTCTCCTCACTCTAGCTGCGATGGCAGTCACTCAATCATCTGAACATTCCTCACAATACAAACCCATTATGAACTCAAAAACTGTCAGAACTATATTTACTGTCTCACAGTTGTATGTTTCCGCCACTCAGACTAGTCCCAGGTTACAATTTATCTAGATTCATATTGAATATTAACCAAATGTGTGAAATTTTTGTCATAATTGCTGTGTGAAGTATTGTGTAATGGCTAAAGTGTATTCTGAGGTCACTGTGACCTTGACCTCTGACCTTTAGCCACCAAAATCTAATTAGGTCATCTCTGAGTCCAAGTGGATATTTGTGCCAAATTTGAAGAAGTTCCTTCAAGATGTTACTGAGATTTTGCATTCACAAGGCCAAAACTGTGTTTTTTGAGGTCACCACGCACTTGACCTTTGACCCCCAAAATCTGATCAGTTCATCCTTGGGTCCGAGTGAATGTTTGTACCAAGTTCTGTCAAGGCTTTCTCAGATATTGTGACCAGGAGAATGGACGGATGGACAACCCAAAAACAATATGCCTGAGGCTCTGGCTGTCCCTGGTGCAGAGGCATGCAAAAGCATAAAAGTTAAACTGCGATAAATCAAAAACTGTACAAGATCTTAAAAAGCTGAATGATAGTTAAATAGCTGAAAGTATGCTGAAGTAGTTGAAGTTCAAAGAGGAGAAAGTTTTCAAGGATTTGAACATCCTCCCCTCTACAAATAAGAAAAGCAATAGCATGAATGTCCTGAAAAACATTTTGATTGTTGAACGGTTTCTGCAGCACTAAGTCTGTAGGAGGAGAAAGCAACCGAAAAACATACAGGAGAAAAAAAAAAACGATTTGGATACAATACTAATATACTTATAATTTCTCTCTCTCTCCTTCTCTCTCTCTCTCTCTCTCTCTCTCTATATATATATATATATATATATATACTGTATATAAGTTATAGTGTAAGATAATACTGTATATTTGACAGACTGAATTGGAAGGAAAAACAGAGACAAAGTGCTATACTGTATGTACATTTGATTTAAATATTTAAAACAATCCACTTTGTTTTTTATTAATACCAGTTTACATGCAGGACGTGTTTATGCTTTGTTTGTGTGTGTACTGACTGTCAATTCTAATTGTTCAGCTTTGGTTTGTGTGACTGCAACAGCAGCCTCTGTATTTTGAGGTGGAAGGTGTGGCACTACACAATAGTGTTTAATCCATTAAGATATTCTGTTATAGTAACACTGAAAAGTTCTGGTTACTAATGCATCAGTATTACAGTAACACAATCAAATAATGCAATATATAATATATCCATATTCTTTTTCAGCAGAATGAATAACTTTACTTTTGATACTGTGAGTACATTTAGCTGATAATACTTCAGTACTTTTACAGGAGTTGTTTACATTGTTACTTTTACTTACTGCAAGTAAAGAAACTGAATTCTTACAACACTGGTTGCTCAAATTGTGTGAAGATTATATCAGTACTTTTTGCAAGTTTTAGCTCTTAAACTACAATTTGTTTATACATTATATTACCGCTGACCATTTTTCTATGTATTCTGTAGAATTTCAGATTTTTGTAAGTAATTTCCCAGATTATATAAGCATACATTATGAACAAAGAACATTGTCAGGCCTACATTCGTATCAATAATTATTGATTTCCTTCCTTGGTAATGCAGTGTAAGTGCAGACTGAGTTGAAAGTCAGTACTATGTGGCCTCAGAACAATAACATCAGTGATGAATTATAGATCTGAAGCAAATTTCAGGAGTCTACTAAGTGGCAGCTAATGGAAACCAGTGGCTGCTTGAAAGGCACTGTAAAAATACATTAAGAAAAATGAAACACTACAGGATGGTTTGCAGAATTATCAGCAGTCATTTGAAGTACTATTAAATTCAGCTAAATGTCATGTCAAGTGATGTGTTTTATAATTTGCGAATAGTATATTATAGCTTTTTTGGTTTGTGTGTTTCAACTCATAAGTGGTCATAAAGTCATTAAGTTCTGTAAATTTCCAGTGTTTTTATGCATGGATACAGACAAGTTTTTATATTTGCAAAGATAAATTACCTGATGCCTAGACACACATGACAACTACAAATGAACAAACCTGAATACTACAAATCCCTCATTTCAGGTCTTTACCCACCCTTGACTTCGTGTTTGTGGTTAACTACACAGCCTCTAATGACGAGTCAGGTTTTACATGGTGATGGTGAGGGTCCATATAAACTTTAATAATTGTCAAAAAGGCTATAAAAATGACATTGACCACAACAAGTCCATTGTACAAGGCAAAAGTCATTGATTATTCAGTCTGCATGTTCCCAGCAACTGCCAAGGTACGATGGGTTGTTATCACAACACACAACTTTTAGGTTGATATTAAAAACTTGTTAGCAAAGATTTGCCTGTTCAGCAATTATGGAGCAACAGGATTTGAAGTCATGTTTATGCTCACCTGGCAAATGTAAATCCAATACCGACCCTCTTTTTTAACACCGATTTTAGTCTCTACCAACTCCTGAAGAAAATATTTTTCTATTTAGCTGCTAAATGCTCCACTAGCTCACTACTTACTGTGTCTGTATGCTCTTTGGTGCTGTATAATGAGATTTCAAAACTTCTTGATGCAGAAAACAGTTGCCTTCTGCATCAAAACGTTTGCTGCTTTAGGGCAGGGGAGCTATAAACAGAAACTTGCTATAAAGCTCCATAAAGCTGAGGGGAACTGCAGATTCAGATGATAATCCTCTGTAGGTTCATCATTATGAGCGGCCCTTTCATGTTGTCACATCATTTCACATTGCCATTTGAATCATTGTTATACAAGATATTGATTATTGGTGATTTAAATCAATAAATAACATTATGGAATAATTAATCACATGGATGAATTGTGTATAATATTTGTAAATAAGCAAATTGAGAAAGATCTCAAGTTATTAAAACTCAACATAAGGTTAAAAAGTAGGAAGTTCAGAATTGATTCACCATCACCATGGGCATGGGGTGAGGATGCAGGATGAAAGAACGAAGGCCATTAAACATACAGTATATCCAATCCAACAGGGGTTTTATTCTCAGATAATTATTTCGAACATGAAAAAAAAGGAAGACACGCATGGGCTGTGGGTTTTGAAAAAACAATAAAGTATAAAGGTTAAATGTAGCACAACAAATCAAAATAGTCTAATTATGTATGTATTAAAGAAATAAGTATAATGAGGGTTCTCTGAGACTAACATACAAATTACAAGAACTAAAGAGCAACAAACTTCTCTTACCAGAACCTGCCGGCCCAGGTGAAGGCGAAAAAGAATGAATGAGTGGAGTTAAGCCCTTAAATAATGTTCGTTTTTAGCTCGTTCTTTACTGAAGCCATCTGAAACATTATCCTCTTCTGTCTCAATGCTTGATGGTCACAAGTGCCATCACGTCCACAGCTTTGAATCACATTTCCCTATAAACACATATTCATGGGTAACTGTATACTTTTGTGTGGAGTGAAAAGAGAAACTCAACACCTGCGGCACTGTGAAAAGGTGTTGGCTTAGAATCTGTAGGATCTGACATTTTCTTAATGTATTAGTAATTAACAACAATCAGGTGTAATTTTATGAGGAGAGACTCAACTTTCTTTTGAGGAGTGGTCTCTTCCACTCCAAGCATGAAAGTCAACAAGTGACAATGTCTACCAAGATTATTTTTTCGCAAACTTGGACTTGTTTATGCGGAGTCAGGAAAACCGAAAGAACGTAATTATAGAATTATTTATTATAAAACAGGCTGACAGTTATTATAGTTTATTTACAGTGTATATCATGCTATGACATAAAAGGAAAATGTAAAGTGATAAAAACAACTAAGTGGATCCTAGAGTTGTAACAAAGTTAAGGCTTAAATGCATACAAAATGGAAAAGTGTTCATTCATGAAACAATAGAAAAATGAATATTCAAATCAAATTGATGCTTCAATTACACATTATATCTGAAAAACCAACAGAGGAACCTCATTATTAATGTTTTTCAGGAAAAAACAAACACATATGTCTGTGTGGCAGCAGCAGAGTGGTGGTGTAACGTTTCAGTCACATTATGACTACATTTATTTATTTGCGCACCCAATGAAATACAAAGTAGACAAAAATGTACCATAAGTGCATCATTCATTGTGATGAATTTGGCATATAAATTGTTACATATTCGACCAATTGTTATATATTTGACCATATTGACCAGATGAAACTGAATACTTGTGTTTGCCTTGAGCATATTTTTATAATGCTGCAGAATATATCTGTAATTTTTAAAAAAAAAAACCCATCCACATGTGTCACACATCCTGGTCAAGGTGATGTTGGCAGCAGGGTGGAAATTAAAGAGGTTAACACATTGATGTGTGCATTTATGTGTGAATTATTTATGTGTGCATTATGGCCACATGGTTGGTGAAACATTGCAAACACTGACATAAGAAGTGGCACAATATACATGAATACACATCATATAAGCATTCACCTTTATGTTCAGTTGGCCACCCGGCTAACGGAAGACTATTTCTGATCTAAATATATATATTTTTTTGCAAAGACTTCATTAAAGAAAGTAAAGGACCATATAAAAAAGACAAAGTAATCTGTTATAACGCAGAAAGTTTAAAAAGATTCTCCATGTAGCTGCCTAGAGCAATACCTTTTTTCTGTCACATAGAAAAAGAAATTTTAGGCCTGTCATTTCCGGGCCTGAAAGTGCTGAGAAATCATCTTTGGATGTCCCCGATAATACTATCTGGTCAGCAAGAAAGGAAAGGAGGATATTCTCATCAAAAGAGCACCTCTTCACAAGATACGAGAACAATCTGGCACATTTTTGGAACCCACTTATGGGTTCAAAGTCCATCAGAGGGACGCTGAAATATCACAGGAAATGTCTGTGACGGGAGGGGAAGGAGACGGGTGAGGAGCTCAGATGAGGGAGATCCGTATAGGGAGGGTGGGTGACTCTGTCCTGTGATGAGGGGAGTGATGGGATACCACATGTTCCACCACTGTGTGCTTAGCCAGGTGCTTCATAAGGTATGTTTCCTGGCAAAAAAAAAAAAAACAAACAAAACAAACAAACATACAGGAGATAAACAACACTTTTAGATGTCACTGCTGCAGTAAATTCAGATTTTAGAATTTAACTAAATATGGATTTCCAACTCACTGAGGTGTAGGCCCTGCCGCACATGCTGCAGCAGTAGGCCTTGGCATTTTTGATGGCGTGTGCAGACAGGTGGATCTGCAGCGAGGCGGAGTCTGAATAGGCACGGTAACAGTTGGAACATTTGAAGGGTTTGTCTTTGTTGTGCTGCCTCTGGTGAGACTTGAGCAAGTACGATAAAACATACAGAAACTGAGTCACCTTATTGTGGCATTATCGCATTATCTGTCACAAATGAATTCAAGCAGTGAATGATTGAGGAGAGAAGCAATTAATGTTTACCTGCAGATTAGATAGCTGTGTAAAAGCTTTTTCACATCCTGGATGCGAGCATTTATACGGCCGGTCACCTGTGTGGATTCTGATGCAGGAAAAATGAAACAAATGTGAGACAAATGAAACGCTTTTTTTAAAGACAGACAGGAAGTTTTAAAGACACAAATTCTCAGAAGAAACCAAAATAAATCTCTCACCTCTTCCTTAAATTCACAGTTAAAGACTAAACATGGCGGAGGTTTGCTTCCAGTGTAACATGTAGGTGAAACTGTTCTTGTCTTTACACAGTGACATGTGCACATAGCAACAAAAGCTGCTGGCCAGCAAGGAGTAAAATAGGGCACCTCTACATCTGAACACTGTGCACGCTTCTCCTCAACAGACCAGACTGGGCACAACAACCTGAAGCACCAGTTCCCGCTGTCACAACAAGTTAACGTTGTTTTACAGGGTCAGTTCACCCAAAGTACAAAAAAAATATACCTAGCTCAAGTTTACAGTATATTACTTCTGGTGGTACTGATTTGTCCACGTTTTGAGATATCATTTCTGAGATTTCTGCCATTTCGCTTGCCATGCTAATACCATTATCCTGTTTTCTTCTTTTTTCTTATCTAAAGGATAGGTTCACATTTTTTCAAGTCTGTCTTAAAACAGCAGTCAGGTGCTGATATGAAAATCTACACTCCTCCTCTGAGGTTTATCTGAAGTTGCGGGGGAAGTGTCAGGAGTATTGCTTTGTAAAATCAAGTGAGTACCTCCCCATGCCTTTTTAGAAAGAAAATTCCCTCTTTTTGTGACTACTCTTCCACTTCAGCTTAAAGAGGAAATGTTATAATAAAAAGGCTGTATTGTTGGAAGATATCCCCTTGATTTCTCCAACTCAGACTCCTGGAGCCTTTAATTAGAGATAAACTGTTGAATATTCTTCCACAAAGTGAAGCCTATGGATTTTGTTCCTGATCTCTTTCATTGAAAGCATTTTAGCAAGGGATCTTTTAATAGAAATTATGTACAGGATGATCATCGCGCCAATTGTTTCACTGTTCGCATGGTCACCTGACTATTATATAAAGAAACAAACAAACCTATCCTTTAAACACTGTATCACACAACAGGTAACCTAGTCCAATTCATATTATCATCATTATTATATCACATGAAAATGACCTGACTAAAATCATATTCCACAACAGATCAATATTTGTATGCTGATTAGGAAACTATTGCATGGAACTTTTTTATTAAGGTGGGATTTCTGGGGCAAAACAAAGTATATATAATAATAGATACCAATAAAATCCCAGACTCCATTGTCACAAACATGATGACATGATTGAAACGTCAGACCTGGTGTGCTGCTGCAGGTGGGACAGCTGGCGAAAAGATTTCTCACAGTAGGAACAGCGGTAAGGTTTGACGCCCAGGTGTATGCGCAGGTGCTGGGCCAGGTAGGATGCGTTCGCAAAGGTCTTAGTGCAGTGAGGACACTTGTGAGCCTTCGCCTCTGTGTGCGTTTTAGAGTGAATCTGCATGTCTGACTTGGAGAAGAAAGTCAGCGGACACACTTTACACCTGCATCAAGAAAACAGTGACACAGAAAGAAGACACACATGAAGAAAATGCACAGAGAGACAAGCGGATGCACAGAACACATGGTGTCTGTACAATATATTTCATGTTGCTGAATTGCAGATTTATCCTGACTCTTGTCTTGCTTCACTTTTTAGAGGTTGTGTTTGCTTCCTCGTTGCACATTTGTTTGTTTACAGAAATATTTGAAATTGTAACGGCGTAATTTTGTTGAAACACTTCGTATAGATTGAGATTAAGAGATGAAGTCATAAACATCCCAACCGACAGTTCTCATCCTTCATTTCCTCCATATGAAACGCAACCAAACAGCCTATATTAATAAGCCGTTTTTAGGAAGTTATTAATATTTCACTAGTGTACTGTGTTATACAGTTCTCCAATGTGTGGTGGAAATTCTTGTGAGCTGACGAAAAGGAGTTCATCAGAAGTTCAGATGGCTCAGACAGGAGTGTTTATTGATAATTTGATGCGCACCAAGAAGAAATAGATTAGAGTCAGTAAGTGAATCAGTAAGTAATGTCACACCAATTCCTGAAGATGTCTTCTCCAACAGGGCGTATATTCCTACGTGCATGGTTACGACACGTTTTTGTACCATACCCAAATAAGGCTATTCTATAGTTTTTACTTGTATGTGTGAATCAATTAAACCTTGTCATTGTCTGTCATGTCTGGCCTGACTGTTACCTGTGTCTTGTCTTTTGCCTTTCTTCCAATGCATCCCTTGTCTGTGATTACTATGGGCAGTTTTCTCTAAGTCATACGTTTCTATCCTTATCTAGGAGACCTTGGTTTCCATAGCTACGAAGGATAAAGGTGGCTCCAATGTTTTTGGTCGCTCTTACTGTATGTGTTGGTGAATCGATTTTCCAGTCTGGTGGATATTAAGTTATATTCTATGCAGTTGATTCTATATTGCTGATTGAAACACTGGTTTTGTCAAGCAATGTAGTTCCGACCTCTCTAGGAGTACAGGGGAAGATTTGAAACCTAACCATCTGAAAACAATTGTGAGCCATGAGCCAGAGGAACGGAGGTGAGAGCATCTGCATAAAAAACAACCTATTTTACCTGTAGGTTTTTCCCTCTTTGGCAGTGATGGTAACACAGGACTGGTCATTGCCTGAGGCTAGGATCGGGTAGGGCACCACTAACAATGAAGACCCATTCTCTGCTTTGATCTTCTTACGGCCTCGTTCATCCTTTGGAGGAGGCCCAAGGAGTCCCACAAAACCCCCGCTGTTCTTCCCAGGCTCCATCCCGTGGCCGCCGGCTAACCCTGAGATGATGTGAGGGGTGGGAGCTCCGCCCAGCCGACTGTGGTTGCTCGAGGTGGGCGTGGTGGGAGTGATGATCTCTGAGGTGTTGAGGTTGCCTGTTCTGGATGCCAGCGCCACACCTGATGAGTGTGATGTGAAGAGAAGGACATGAGGGAAATAAGTTATCATCGAGGGGTTACATACAAATACATCACACTGAAAGTATAAAAATAAAGAACATGAATCATGGAGAAGATAATATTGAATAATCTTTATTTACTGTATGTAACATTTTTTCTGCACCACCACAAACAATCAGAAACCTGGATACTGTATGATCTTGTATAACCAGGTTTCTCACTTTCGTTAAGGCCAGATCTGAAGTTCTGTTATTCAGGCCCCCACCTCTTGAAAATTCATCTTGGTGAGATGTCCCACCAATGTTGAGCACATTGCCCACAATTTAGATGTGATTTTTTGACTCTGAGCTTTTTCAAGTTTCAACATCCAAAATATGAAGGTAGTGAAAGGATGCTTCCACCAACTTATAAATATTGCAAAAGTTAAACACCTTTTTTTATCTCGAGCAGACCACGTCTAGATTACTGTAACTCTCTGTGCTCTGAGACTTCTAGGGGGGGGGGTTTGAGGTTTGAGGGCACAGCAGTGGGGTATCTTTGATCATGTGACACAGGTTTAAATCTGTCCTAAACCATACTATCCACAACCCACCCCCACACACACCTTTGTTCAGTAATCTTAAAGGTAAAGTCATTTTACATTAAATGTTCACGTTATTCATTCAAAGATAAACCAAAATTCTCTGGTCCTGGTAATGAGGAAAAGCCAAACCCTGCTGACCTGAGTAGGACAACAGACTTTGTTTCTTTGTTTGCACAACAACAGGAAGTATCACACTGAGAGCTGTGTGGTTACCTGAGACGTGGTTTGTCCTGGAGGGATGATCTATGAGTTGACGCAAATGCCAGTCTTCCCATAATCCTCTGGCTTTTATAGCTGCCTTATCATCCAGATTCAAGTTTACGTCCCCCAGAATACGACCTGGTAAAGATGCAAAAAAAAAACAAAACAACCAAAAACAAATCTATATATTATCAAATAAAAATACACCGCATACTTTACATCTGACAGTTGGTGTTAAGATTTAACAAAATATTTTTACAATAAACAACTGACAGCTTTGTCTTTGTCTCACCAATATAGACAATCCACACAGTTTAAACAATAAACATAACACAATAAAAATAATAAAGACCACAAACGTCACAAATCATCTGCAAGAGTGGACAGAGCGGGAGTACCTGTGACGGAGCTGGAGGCGGGGCGGGCGTGCAGGGCGATATCAGGCTGAGATGAGCTGTGGCTGTGGAGAACTTGCATCTGCTGGGCTTTGGACATCCCGTGCAGGCCACTTTCTACCTGACTCGGGGGAGCCAGTAAGGGCTGTTGGGAAGGGGCTGAGGTGGTGGGCAGATGCGGCGGTCTGATCTTCTCGGCCATCAGCTGCTCCTTGATTTTATTGATCAAGACTAGGTTATCCAGCTGACAGCCAGGAAACGATATTTGTGACAAGAGAACAGCCATCATCAGTTCAGTCAGTGTCGGTTTATGACGCGATGGTTCCCTCTAATGGCTGACGTGTGACATTGTAACTAAGGCCTAACCTGAACGTTAATGAGGAGCTGACAAGTATTACACCAGTGGTTCCCGACCTTTTTGGTTTGTGTGACGCTTTAAAATGAAGCAACGTCTACAAGAGAGAATCAGGTGTATGATTTATTTGAGGGATTTCTCACAGCTGAGGAGATGTTCAAGCCTGAAGACACACGATACATTATTTCATTAATGAAAGAAAAAAAAATTAGAGAAAGACAAATTTGTGTGGGAGATCCTTTTACTGTAGGTCTATCTCTTAAAATCATGTAGGAACCCTTCTGATTTATCTTGGGACCGCTTGATGGGTTCTTATCCCCCAGGTTGGGAACCACTGTATTAAAGGAAGTCTGCTTATTCGCTTTCTTGGTGAGAGTTAGATGAGAAGATTGACACCACTTTCACATCAGTATTCTAATTATTCTGCCAGCAGCTAATTTGCTTAGCTTAGCATAAAGTTTGGAAACAGGCGGAAACATATACCCTGGCTCTGTCCAAAAGGTAAGAAAATCTAACTACTAACACCTCTAAAGGTCACAAATTAACATATTGTATCTTGTCTCATTTGTACAAAAACCAAAGTGTAGAAACAACACATTGTAGTGTTACAGGTCGATGTGTCCTGGACTATTTCTTGGTTACTGCTCCCAACACATAACCCCTTGTAAAACAGCAAATTTGCGTTTTTACACATCAGATTCAGTATAGATTTAAAAAACAAGATGTAATGTGTTAATTAATATATAATGGCAGGAAGTTTTTATTTACCAGCCAGGCTAGCTGTTTCCAGCCTTTGTGCTAAGCTAAGCTAAGTGTCTGCCGGCTGTAGCTTCACATCCAGCAGACAGACATGAGAGTGGTATCAATCTACTCGATAAACTCTGGGGCAGAATGCTAATGAGCGTATTTCCCAAAATGTTGAACTATTCCTATAGAAACTACATCATTTAAAATCATATTAAAAAAAAAAATACAATAAACCTTTACACACACAATGCAGTGATTTTGCCGCTTAGTGTTAATATGTTCAGAAATAAGTGTGGATACCAGCATCACTCACCTGGCCAGGCATCGCAGGAGGTGGAGGCCAGAAATAGGCATTATTAAAGCGAGGTTCAGCCATCCTGAAATGAAGACACAAGAATCATAAACAAAACAAGGGCATGACTCAGCCTCTCCACCTCTCAGTGAACATACCTGCCAGTATATGTAGTGAGTACATAATTGCAGTCAAACTTGTTAGACAGTTGCTCCCCTTAAATAAAGAATGATGAGAGGAAAATTTGAAGGTTGTATAGAAGAAAATATTTTTTTTCTAACTTCCTTCCCCTAGTAATCATCTTGCGACCCCTCAGGTTTATTGTCCCTGGTTGGGAACCACCGTTGTAAAATATTCTTAAGAATATGTCCTATAAATGTATGTGTGGATTTATTGTCAGTGTAGAAAACAGGGGTTAAAAACTTGTGTCAGTAGCTCTCCACCCAGTCAGCAGATGACTGTTTGATGTTATAATATGAGATAACTAGTCCCAGTCTTGTGATAGTGTATTTTCAAAGACATTCTGTATTAGCTCTCCTCCTCTCTCAAAAGCACAAGAGCAGTCCTGGTGTCCTCTCACTTTCTCCGAGCTTCGTCAGAGACAACAGAGAGGATGTTTCTGAGTTGCCGCGGTGAGTGCTGTTAGCATGAAATATATATATTTTTTTAAAAAGGAGGACGTTTCAGTGAGTGATACAGAGTCTGGCAGCTTTTTCTCAGGATTTCCAACCACAAGTCTGCACAATGGCCATGCTGCCTGAGAGATAAGCTCTCACGTGATTACAACAGCTAGTTAGGGAACTCTTCAAAATGGTTATCTGAGAAAACAGAAATGTTGAAAGTGATGTGGTTCAAATCCTAATCTGTGGCTGTCTGTTTCCTCCTCGGCACGTGGGGCCCTGCTGGTTAAGTAAGAGTCTGATGGGAAACGAGAGAATAGTTGCACAGTCTCACCTCAGAGCACAGCAAGACCCGAATGACATAGACAGTCTCAAAAGCTGAGAGGTCAGTAATCCGAGCTAAACGTAATGAACACTGAACAACTTAAATGAGGATGCTGCACAGAGGAAACACGTATTAGTAAGTGACACAGCAATTTTTTTTTCTTATACATCTGTGGCTGTGACTGCAAAATAAGAGCATGATTCTCTTTTTAAAAGAGAATACCTGATTTTCAGAAGCTACAAGTAAGCATGTTTGATCCCATTGCTTTTCTAGACTGTCTGACAGAAACATTGAAATGTTTAAGGCAGAGAGACAGAGAGAGAGAGAGAGAGAGAGAGAGAGACAGAGAGAGAGAGAGAGAGAGAGAGAGCTGCTTGCTGTTCACGTTGGGATCTGAAGGCCTTTCTTTCCATAGCTTCTCTTTTCAACCCCGTATGAAGTTCTTTTTTTTTTTTTTTTTTTTTAAACATTTTGCATTGCGTGCTTTGGCACACTTCACCATTCCTAAGTCTGTTTGGCTTAGCGGAGGCATAACACAGTCCACGTCTGCGAGCCAACAGAAACAAAAACGATATGTCCAGGGGTACGAGCGTACAGTAAACCCCACAAAATATTTCTCTAATGATGCCGGTGGGGGATCAGTTTCACTTCCTGGAGGCTTTTTGCCTCTCGGGAGCGGGCTCAGGAGTTTGACTGCTGCTGGACATCTCTGTGTCACTTTTTAGAATGACACACTTCACCAAGAAAATATTTATGACAGCAATGTGCTCTACATGACTACTGCTGTACATTCATCCTGTTTGGTGATGTGTGTTATACAGAGTCCTTCCAATCAGCAAGTTCATTTCTGCATATAGATGTCAGTCTAAACATCTGAACTGCATTACTTGTGCCACTTTTACCACCAGAGTTTTTTTTTTTTTTACACAAATGCAGCTAAGTTTCAATAAGGCTTAAAGGTAAAAACAGCAAACGGTTGCTCAGCTTGACTTGTACATGCAGTATTTTTGATGCAGGTGCATCAGAGAGGAGCTCAACATCTCAGCTCTTTATGGCTACAAGTAATTATTGCAATTAATTGTTATCGTATTACTTTGTTGACTGATTGATCACTTGTTTTGTCTATAAAATGCTTATGATAGTTTTCCAGAGCCCGAGGTGACACATTCAAATTGCTTGTTCTATCCGACCAGCAGCCTCAAAAGATCTCAGACATTCAGTTCACTAACACATGTGACAAAGAAAAGGCGGGAACCAACATTTGGCATTTTTGCTTCATGCTTCATTCTGCTCATTAATCAGTTATCAGAATAAACAACTAATCATCTGAGTGCACCACTGTCTAATAAGCCACTCTTTAGAAAAGGTTTGTGAGTTGTCACTAATGAATTCAATAACCGTTTATAAATCGTTCAGTGAAGATTTAGAAGAACCATTTAAAATGACGATTTTGGGGGTGTCAAGTTGTGATAAATCTCTTTGACTGGTTACTATAAATGCACTCATTAACTTTTATAACAGGAGACTTGGTGGTTTATTAGAAAGTTCCCTGAACATTTATTCATGAATTATTCCTGGATTATCACCAAATAGAGACCAGCCACATCCTGGAAACCCCATAGATCTTATTTATAGCTTATAACTAATCTATCAAGCAATAGGCCTAATAAATAATTTAATTAATAATCATTGATAAATCCATTAGTTACAACTTATAAACCCTTATAAAGGGCATCAGAAAGTGGTCCAGATGTAATATTAGATCAGTTTAGGCTACATGCTGTTAATTCTGTTGAGTGCGGTAATAATCCTACAGATGGTTAGCAGTTAGTGAGGGTCAAGTGTCACCACAGTGGTGTGCAGGTAGCACCTCCAATGCAAACACTTCAACATTTAAAAAAAAAAATTAAATTCCATTAAAAAAAAAAAAAAAAAAAAAAACTACATCGGTGTAAAAAAGAGAAAAGGGATAATTCCTGTGAGATCATCTCTGGAAGGAAATACTACCCCACCTTTCAAACAAAAGTTAGGGTTAACTTTTTACATCTTTGTACCTGCTGCGCTGGATTATTCCGCCGTTAAACACCAAAACGAGCAGGAGCTGATCTCTCAAATCTTAACGTGAGCAGTTTTAAACGAGAACATCTCCACAAAGGACCGATCCTGCTGCTGCTGCTGCGCCTCGGTCTCTCCGCCGCCTCTCCCACATTCTCAGACAGTTTATTAAAAAATTTCAGACAAAAGGAAAACAAAAATGGCAGCCCTGTCTTATTTTTATAAGCACTGGACGCCATATTCTGCAGATCCGAATATTATAGGCAGATAATTCCCCAGATGTAATGAAACGCTTTCGCGACGCGCCTGGATGTGGCATATTTGCATTAAGCGTACGAATGATTGTTTACTTTGATTTGCAGGTTTGAATAGCCCGGCTTGAGGAGGAAAAAAAAAAGGCTGACACTTCCTACAACAATCACCATGCCTTTGCTGAATGCTCTGCAGCTACCGAGCCGTAAATTTCAAATGTCGACGTTATTACTGACGCGCAATGGAAGCTTTTATTCGCTCGAGAGGAGAAAAGAAATCAGTCTTTATCATATCTGCGCTGCAAATGCTCAGTTTTTAATTGCAACTTTTGCACGACTTGAATAGAAACGGTGGCGAAGCGACACGGGAGAGCTGTGTGTGAGAGAAAGGAGCAAAAAAACAGGCAGAGAAATTGCATCGAGCGGCCAACATACCTGAACCAGCGAGAGAAGAAATATTTTATAAAGGATTAGTCTCTTCTTTCTGCTCGCTCTCAGTCGGACTTCAAACCTTCCGGGTCGCCTGCTGTTCACTTCTGGGTGCTGCAGGCGAGCAATTGTTCAGCGTAAAAACACTGAGATGAAACTGATTTTTAACCCATTTTCTGGGTTCTATTGTGGACGTTGGCTATTTTCTGGCAGTGACTGTGGTCGCCCCTGCGCCGCAGCGGTAGATAAAACTGTACACGTGCGTGGGAAGTTGATGGTCATAGATGGGTTTCCTGTCCAGTGACAGTTGTGCTGTTCATATATTATTGCATGTGTGAAGTTCACCTTCTCCTGAGCCTGTCATCACCGACTGCAGTCTCATTTATATACACAGATAAGGCTGTTATAGTTGTAATCAGAGAGACAGAGGTCCAGTATTAGTGTATCATAGTGACAGTGATTTGTTGCATCACAGGTGCTAATTCAAGCTCTGTGTAGAAGCTGTCAGTCTGTCCCAGGTCACAGCGGTCATGCACAGTAAATATGAAGTGTAATCCTCTCAGTAGCAGCAGCAGCAGCAGCAGTAGCAGCAGCAGGACAGGCTGCTAATATGTTCTGTGCTGAGCTCAGCAGGAGATGGCACTGCTGCCACAGCAGAGAGGTTCAGCTACTGGTGACCATGGTGCTTTACATCTGAAAATATGATGAATGACTCCTTTACATTTAACTGACCTTTCCTTAACCACACATGGTGCTCAGATTCTACCTTAAGGTCATGGCGGAGATCCCATCTAGACCATAAGAAACCCCGCTACTTTCTAATAAGCCACTCTTTAAAATGTTTGTAGTGACTTACAAACTTATGTGAATTTGTGAGGTCATAAGTAATAACAAATAAATAATTTACTGAAGTTATTATTTAGAAGCTATTAATAAGAAAAGAGGTTTGACTGGTGTTTGTCCATTGTGTTTGGTAACAATGCACTTTTGAATGTTGTGCTCATGTAAATGTGGAGGACTGTAAACCAAAGGGATTATTCACAACTTGGCAACTTCAAACTTTTTCTTATAAAGTGCTTCTGATTAATGTAGCAGTAAACACTTTATTGACAATTAGTGATCCTGCTTCTTTTCATGTTTTTTTTTTATAATCGTCTGCTACTAAATGTTCATTAGAAACGCAGCAACAAACTAAATGATCATACAGACTTCACCTCTCTAAAACAGTTTCAATAAAAACAGAGCATTAGAACCTCCATGAAGGAGGATTTATTGCAGGATTGTTTTATATTTAGCCAGGTGTACCTAATAAACTGCCAACTGAGTGTCAAGTTGAACAGAAGATTGTGGATGGAGAACGACTGACGTGTCGTCTGTTTTTTCATCATCACATCTGGAATCATAAATGTATTGTTTATACTTTGAACAACAACAAAATTCGGTCTTGAATGTCAGTGCCCAACCCTGTACACATTGTTTCTTCCTTACCTTAACGTTTGCTGTAAATGGTGCTTACACACACAAACACACACACAAACGCGCACGCACACGCACACAAGCAAACACACACACACACACACATTCAAATTTATGCTCATGTAAGCATAGCAAATGCAAAACTCCATAGGACTCCACCTCATCGCTTTGACATGAGTCAGTCTGAGGATACAAAATGCAAAGCACAATAATTAGAGATAAAGCACATAGGGAGTCACATAGGGAGTGCAGTGCTCAGGAGACGTTTCAAACCTTGCTAGAGAACAATGCCCCTGTTTACAATTAAAAGTACACTACGATCCTCATACTGGCGCTTCACTAACACCATGACCTGATTAAAATGTGATTAGATATCATTTTTCACAAAGAAACGAAGCATCTCGTACAAATTGTTTAGGCTTTCAAACACCAGAGAAAAAAAATCTTGTTGTTTTCAGTGTAGTTAATACTTTATTTAAACAGGTATTTTCACTGAGACCAAAACATCTTTTTCAGGAGAGACCTGTGTACAAGAAAAATAAAAAAAACCCATTGAAATGTAGATAAACATTGACACACAATTACAATTACATACACAACAGACAAACTATTTCAGTGACATTAAGAACACCTAAGTATAATCCAACTTAGTGCTCAGAGAAAATAGAAACATGAACATCTATAATTTTATGATAATTCAGTGATCTTCATGTGCTGAAGAAGACCATTTGATGTGATGAAAACCTCCTGAACAGCTACTAAATGGACCTCATGGTGAAACTGGTGGTCAACATGAAAATGAGATTTAACTCATATGTTTTTGTTTTTTTTATCCTACTCTATATGATAAGAGCAACTGCTTGAATATGAGCAACAGCTAAACTCAAACTGTGACCTGGTGTTATAAGTGGTGTTTTTAGATGCAATGAGAGAGCAGAGTTAATGAAGCAGTTTTCCCAGGACAGTCTTATAGATAAATATTGTACCAGTGGTTTAAAAGAACTATCACGCCTGTCCAAACAGTTCACAGTGGCTACTAACTGGATACAAAAGCGATCACGATGATACAACACTTTAGGGTCCGAGGTTAAATATGAATGAGTCATATTTCTAAACCTAATATTAAACCTTTGCTGTATAGACTAAAGATTGAAATGAGTATGATAAAGCATATGTCAACTACTGTCTAATCTTTCCTTATTTTCTGTAAGCCTTGAAATAACATACAGTAGCTTGAGCAAGGTGGGTGTAACACAGAAATATTTTCACATTGAAACATCTTCGACCCAGTAAATAGACACACACACACACACACACACATACACACACACACACACACACACACACACTATGACATTTACCTTTGAATCTCTCACTGTTAGTTATTCAGTTGTTAAACTGGTTTTCTTGTCCATACAAACAGTGCCACACCTTCTGAGACGAGTATGTTTCTCTCACCTCCAAACAGGCCAGGTGCAGGGAGCACAGGAGGGGGGAGGCGAGGGGAAGGAGGGAGGCTCATTACCCCCCTCCCCCCTCCCTCACCGAGAGGGCGGAGCAAAGGGGGGAGATGAAGAAAGCGGATGAAACATTTGAAGCTCATATTGACATGCTGCAGTGAAGGCTCCTGCGAGCACAGGTAAGAACCAATGAACTTCAAAGCTGTTTCTGTTCTAGACTGGATTTTTCTGTTACACATAGTTTGAATCCTCCACTATGACCATGACCATGTGATAGAGACAATGGAAATATTTTTTACAGGTTGAACCAGTCTGACTGTATAGTACTGTAGAGGAGGTGGACATATTTACAGACTGGACTTAGCAACAGAATCTGTGCACACAAGTCCACTGCAAATTTGCATGTGTGCTCAACTTACTGAGAAGTTTAATGGCATTTATGGTGTTAAATATAATTGCTGAAATTCATTTAAATATAATGCACATTGACAGAGGACGACAGTTGAAATTCCTGAGTTTCCACATTTTTGTCTAGTCCAGGGTTCACTACTAATGTACACACTGAAATATTGATCCACAACCACGGGACGGAAACATTCACTCAAAGTGGAACGATCATGTAAAACATTTATGTGAGTTTATAAAATGTAGAAACCACAGAAATATTTTCCATTGTTGGTATTATCAGCAGAGTGTCTGGAATTCCTGAGGTCCTCCACCCTGAGGCAAAAAGAAAACCATGTTTTTCAATATGTTGACCTGTGTGTATTTGTTGTTTTGTTATAGACATGGATGGTGTGTTGGAGGGAGCGGCAGTGTTGTGTGTATTTAAACTGGTCTGCAGCGTTCTCTTCCTGCCCTCACTGACGGCCTCCTATAGTCCTGTCAGCTTCTGCTGCTGCTGCCTTTTGATCTTCACCGACTTCCTGGTCACAGGTGACTATCAAGACATGATCAGAGTGCTGGTCGCAACAGGGCTCTGATCCAGTAGCTTCCAACCTTTGTTAACTGATGCACCGTAGCTCTGTAGTCACCACCTGTCAAGATAAAAAGGTCCACATTTGAACAGTGTTGGAGGAAGTATTCCACCAGATCCGTTGTAAATGTAAATGTAGCAATACCACAAAAAAATACTGTAAAAATACTTATATACTTATATACTAGTACAAGTTCTGCATTCACAATTCTACTTGAGCTAAAGTACATAAGTATTACAGTAAAGTAAAGCAAAAAATGGCCCCTTTCAGATTGTTACATTATTTTAATCTCAAATTAGCAAGATAAAAATTTGTGCACCCAAGTTATTATCTTGTCCTACAAGATGTTTTTCAGGAATTCAGGGTTGTTTTTTCTTAATTTTGTTGGGAGACACGTTCCCACTTTATGATTCTTATTTGTACATGGTGACCTCAATCCCAGCATAGCTGCACAACTCCAACCTGTGTAGGTTTAATTAACATAATAACCCAAAACACCTGTTTGGGTATAAGGGACCTTTAATTTATGATAATGTATCATATTTTATAAGTTGATTATATGTTTTGTAAAATCAAAGCACTTAGTAACTATTGAATACAAGTGGCGAGTCTTTCACTGTTCTTTGAAATTTTCCAAGACTGTGTCTGAATGGATTTTAAATTGGATGTTATGTAACACTTTTCAATTATATTAAAGTGCATTTTGTTAAGATATTATTTTTTTTATATTAATAAAATTACTTGCCCATTCGATGGACAGCAACAAAATGACTGCAACAAGTAATTTCACCAAATCTAAGCACTTCTAGTTCCAGCTTCTCAGTTGTGAGGATTTACTGGGTTTCTATGTCTTAAGCTGCTGCTGCTCTGATTTTGACCATTCTTCATTTCGTCTGTCTCTGAGTCCCCCGACTTTGTAGTTGTGCAATAATAAATAGCTGGACTACCCCTTTAATTTCTACTTTCTTAAATTAGCTGAGCTCCTCTACAGTCTGTCCATGCACCTAATCCAATCCCACCAGAGTCATCTAACTCACTGATGCCTTGCTTTGTTTTTCCCACAGTTTTCCTAAGTTTCCTTTGTATCTTTGAGTCATGGCTGACTGAACTGACCATACTCGGTGATGTCATTGCCCTGCGCTTCCTGCTGTTTCTCAGCCACACATATGGTGCAGTCTTGCTCCTGATCACACCTCTGATTGCTGTGGAGACTCTGACCAGACTGCTGTGGCCTCACTTCGTCGTCACTCACAGGGCCGTGAGCCGAACAGTGGATTCTGTTGGAGAGCGTTGTTATATTGAGGAGGGAATCGCGGACGAGGAGGAGGACAGCAACAATCCAGACAAAGACAAAGACAAGGGGTTGTCTCACGTCGTCGGCTACCTCTGCTGCCTGTCGGTGTGGGTCGCCGTCGCCCTGAATGTCAGGTGGCGGTGGAAGCTGGAGGAAGACTGGGCTGCGGCCTGCTTGCACACAACCAACTCCCTCATCAAATGTTTGCCCAACCTGTTCAGCCCCATGCCCAGCGCGGTGAATCCCTGCTGGGGCATGGCCTTCCTCTCCCTTCTCCTGTTCCTCCTTACCACGAGCAGCGGCGCGCATAGACGACACCGGGCCCCTGCACATATGGGGGACACACACCAAGTGAAACATGGAGTTAACAACAACAGTTACAGTTGCTGGCAAGACCCAGTTGCAGACCACTCTGCAACCTCCAAACCTGTGAACCCTGGGATGTCGGTGTCAGAGCCAGCACAGTGTGTTGACCCAGAGAAAACAGAGAGCAGCTGCACTGTTCACAGAGCATATTCCTGGAACATTGTGCAGATGTCGGCGGATCACCATGGAGACTTTGTCCTCATCTCCCCCGGGTGTTTGTCTGCGGAGAGGGGAGGACAGGAGCACGAAAGGACAAAGAGAGGGATACCTCTGACATTTATCACGGAGGAACACGTGGACTCACAATACAGGAGCAAGCTTGGGTGGCGACAGTGGGGTTTTCCCTGCCTGGGGGTGAATGTAATGATAGGGTTCGTGGGTGTGCTCTCCATCTTTGTGCTCCCTCTGAACCTCAGTGTGAACATTCTTCTGATCAGGACTATAGAGACATTACTGGAGATGTGTGCCAGATCTTTAGTCGGATCTGCAGCAAACACAAGCGACACATCTGCCTCCCTCAATGAAACATTTGTATAAAACCAAACTGGCTAGAGGCAAAAGTAGATGCTGATTGGAGGCGGGATCACTAGATTAATATTGCATGTGCAGAGGCAGCAGGTCTACCTGTCAACACTGGTTTGAATAGAGCATAAATAAGCATTTCTGAGCAGCTATTCACATGTGAGGAATAATATGTGGAAACTGCTGAAAGGTGCTGAGGAGGCAGGTTGAGGCGTGCTTTGTAGAAAGACACTAGACCTGACGGAAACAGATGGCTCGAAGGCCTTCTTTTACTATTCAGAGCCTTAAGATATGCAGCGGTTTGTCATTACACAATAGGTTACAGAATGAGCCTCTCCAATTTAAACAGGACTAATCCAGGGGCAAACAGTGTTTTGAAGTAATGATCTCATAATGATCATAAACCCTGAATAAGGCAATAAATAAATACTGAGTGACATGGAGGTGTACCACAGGTTTTTGTTTTCCCCTTTTGTAGTTTTGTCTCTGTTCTATAAAAGGACTTTACTGCTCCTCAGAGGTGGGAAGTAACTAAATACATTTACACAAGAAACACAATTTGGAGCTACTGAACTTTACTTGGGTACTTACATTTCATGCCACTTAACATGTCTGCTCCACTACATTTATCTGACAGCTATAGTTACTAGTTATTCTTCAGGTTAGGATTGCACATAAAAAACAGGATATGTTTATGAAATACAATATCTCTATTAAACCAGTGGTCCCCCCGCCTTTTTTGCTTGAGATAAATAAGCAGTGTCTGGGTGGGGCTCTTTGTCACATTTATGAGTTGTCAACAGTTTCACCAAACAGACATTTCTCCTTCTCAGATGGTTTCATTAAAATAATTGTTTGAGGCCTAAAGGGGATGAATTTATCCAATACTTCAGAAAAATTAGAGAAAAGTACAAACACAAACTTGTAAAGCAGAGCTAATCATCTCATAATCTCTTGTCTTTTTCAGTCTTTAGTTCATTAGGGAGACCTGTCCAATGGTCTGTTTGACCACTTAGCCTACCGTCTGGAAAAGAGCTGCAGAGCATCTGGGCCTAAATCCATTTATAAACAGATTTTTAACATTCACAACTGCAGACTTGACGTATTGTTCAACTCATGATTTATTAAAATGTATCATTGCAGGTGACTGACTAACTTTTGCTAAAGGCTCATTAGAAACTCAAGACCCTTTATTAATGTCATACTGACATGCGTAACCTGATAGCTTATAAGAAAGTGCAACACCTTGAGTACTTATTAATGGTTTACCAACATTTATAACTGCATCACTACTGAATAGAAACACACAGCCATGTTATAGCCATGTAAAACACTCATGCAAGAGTTTAACTTAACCGCTCTTACTATCAACATTTCACATTTACTTATATTATTTTCCTGTGTATATTTGTGCTACTTTAAGTTTTGCATGCGTCTCAACAGTTACACACCTGTGGTTGTCAATGGTAATAATCAGTTTATAAATAGATTTTGGGCCAGATGCTCTGCTGCTTTTTTTCCAAAAGGTGTGTGTTCAAATAGACCACTGGAGCGGTCTCCTGATGAACTACAGAGCTAAAAAGATGTGTTGTACCGAAGGAGGATTTTCCACAACTGGCAACCAAATATTGTTCTCATTAATGGGTTAGAAATGATACAAAAAGCTGTAGTAGATTATTTTTTAACCATTAATAAAGCCATTTATCACATCTTATAAACCCTTTATAAATGGGGCCTTACCCTATTTTGTTACCTTCAGACAGAGCCAGGATAGCTGTTTCCCACTCTTTCCAGTCTTTGTAATAATTCATGATAAACTAAGCTTGACAGCTGCTGGGTGAAGCTTTATATTTGCTGTACTGACACGAATTCAGTGGTATCAGTCTTCTCATTTGACTCTCTGAACAAAGGGAAATAAGCGCCTTCTTTAAATCACAGGTTCTATTTTAAAGGCTCCTACTGTTTCTAATGTAAGATGATACATGCAAATTCTACCTAGAGACACTGAAAGTAACTAGACAGGCAAAGGTACCGAGGTGCAGCGTTGCCAGATTTGACAGAGTTGCCCGGTCAGACTTGAATGTACCCAAACATTGTAAAAGTAGCCCAGTTTTCACTTTACAGTAGAGGGTTTTGTTTTGTTTTGTTTAAATATGAGTACAGTAGTAACAAGAAACAGGAAGTGTAATGTTGCCGTGGATTCAGATTTTTAAGTCCATAGTTGTTTACAATTTCAAAAAATAACACGCTGAATTCACCATTAGCAGTTCCTGTTTGCTATGAACGGTTGGATACAGTGAAAACAAGCATCAATAAATGACAGAAAACTTTGCTTTGTTTCTCAGACAGGTTCTGGAGTTATAAGAAGTGTCTTTTTTCAATGATTTCTAGGCCTGTTTATGAACGTTTATCTGTGATGGATATCGGAGCTAACAACATCCCTGCACTGTTTACGTCAGACTGAATCAAAAAATATGTGCATCGTGTGTGTGTGTGTTCAGATTTGACAAATGTATGTCTAATTTTGGACACAAATTACAGCAAGTGGGCATTGAGGGTTTTAAAATAGTCTACGTTATTTGCTACTGCTGCTGCTGCAACTGTTGATTACGATGATTACCAGCCAAACTACAATAACTAACTTCATGTTGTTTGTAGGTCACTGCCCCTTTCACCTCACACAGTATCTTTAACTCATGTCTCTCCCTCTACCCCAGTTTGAAAATGTGGAATAGAGCTGAGCTTTTAGCAGCCATAAACCACTCTAAAGGTACAAAATTAGCACAAATTATAAAATCTCACCCAAATTAATTTTTGCCCACCCAAAGTGGCTCAATTTGGCAAAACTGTTGATGTGCCCTCATCATGCCTGAGCTGCTGAGCTGACAAGTGTTCTCCTCCACTGGTGAGCAGGGACACAGGTGTCAACACCAGAGGGCACTCCGGTACAACAGCAACTCCCACTACAAATAAGCCTCCTAAAATGTGCCATAGATGAGCTTTAGGATGTAACAGGAGAAGGATGAAGGGGATTCGGGAAACAAAAGAAGACCTTTTTATGCTGTTTTACCTTTGATGGAGCCAGAGGCTTGCAGCTCACCTCTTCTTTGGAAGTGGAGAGACCTGTGCAGACAGATACTTAAACCGCAGCGCACACTGACAAGAAGACCGTGTTCCTCTGCATGTGCGTTCATGCTCTTTTAAGTCACACACTGTTAATGCAATGATGTATCCCAAGGCAAATTATTGCTTCATAACTGTAAGCTGACGTGCTCTGCTGACAAGTTTAAAAGTTTAATGAGTGCTGTGGTCTTGAGGATTATATATTAAATGAGGGCATGATGACATTAAGGCGAAATTTCTTAGTTGCTGTAAGTTTCCTCAGTCATGAAACTGTAACTACTCAGTGTACGGACTGTGCTCTGCGATTGGTTGAGAAAAGGGAAGTGCAAGGGTTGAGATAAATTTCTTCCTAATGGTGTTCAGTTTTATTGCTTTAACAGCACACACACAAATGATTTAACTGCTCCCAGCCAGATGAGTAATCCTCTGATTCACCTACAACTTTCTGCACTAGTTTCCAACTTTCAGTTTCCGAGGTGGGATGGGTCCCACTTTCACTACATACATTCCTACGTTGCACAGCAGGTGTAATTTTCAGAGGTTTTTTTTCAGGAGATCTTTAGTGTTACTCTACAGTTTGTTACAGCTCCAGATTAATTCCAGCTACATGGGGTTCAAGTCTGGAGACTGTGCTACTCTTCCATCATGTGAAGCCACCGGGTGTTTTTGTTCCTCTAATGTTTTGGGTCATTATCTTGCTGTAGGATGAACCCCTGACCAACCAGTCTGTCTTCTTTTGTTACTTGTTTTCTGAAAATATACAGCACTACTTCCTGCCGTACATCATTGTCCTAATAATGTATCATAGGGTGCAGTAACACAATTTGTTCCAACACTGCGTTCGTACAGACAGGGGGTTTGTAACCTGTCGGGGATTGTTTGCATTGAATTTCAAATTATCATTGAATCTGCAGGAAAGCTGTAAATGAAGCAATTGATTAATCTCTGAAAAAGGCCTGTTTTCTATGAAATTTACATAATTTTTCAGGTTTTGGTGACCTATGCATTTCTTTTTTCTACCTTGTACCATTAAGGTTATTCACCGTACTTGAACTGCCTACATTTCAATAAGAGCTCAAAAAATAGGGGTGTGCTAAAACTGTTGACTGGTAGTGTAATGGATTAATCAACTAATTGTTTCAGCACTGAGATGTTGTTTTATAACAATTTCCCTCAAGTCATATTTAACCTAATATATACGGCAATCCTGAAAACATGCACAATAATAGGGATGATGGATCTGTTCATGCCACCAGCATTATAGCTGCAGCTGATGACAAAAGCAAGCCTTCATGTCTGTTTCTTCCATCCCTTACAAGATTAAAAATGTTACAGTCTCGCCTCAGGAGGGCCACATCAGCCTGGAATCGGATATGGGTCTCTCAAAGGAGAGCTCAGTGACTTTTTAATGGATGCTATCCCCTCAGGGAAAAATGTCTATTACAGGATGGACACCTTCTCCTCGGATAAAAATGTCTCTATCAGAGAGGAGAGAGCTGAGAAAAGTGTCCAGAATCAAAGCCGAGAATATGGAGCCACTTGTCCTGAGGGTCTGCTGTGAATGAATGGCATGCCGCTTCAAACTGCACAGTTTGTTATGGAACAGCTGTAATCATGATGCAACAAGACTCAATTGCTTTGGAGTGTGAACTAATAAAACAGCAGGGTACGAAGTTTCACAAAAAAAAAAACAACAACTCTCTGCCTTTCTGATGCAGTGTATGACTCAGATGTTCGCTTTCGATCCTGATTTTAAACTGCATAATGATTTCTTCTCTCCGCTTTAACAACCAGTCATTCAGATGCGTCACAGATGGCAAATGAAGAGGACCTATTGAAGGCTGCGTCTCACCCGCAGTGAGGGAACACTGAACTCCTGCAGACATCTTTTTTATTCATCATGTCACACGCCTGGGCCTCAGCCTATGCCAAAATAGGGAAGAGTAATAAAAGACAGCGCACAGCCTCCCACCTCCCTGCTGGATAGCTTTTTTGTTTGGCACATCTCAACTATAATGTTTGGCATTACACTCTTGCTGAACCGGAGTACATATTGACAAGCAGAGGCAAAGTCTTCCTATACTACAAATGGGATTCATCTGCCTCCCAGATATCTTTCATTTTGAGTTTCAGTTTTGATATTCTTGTTCACAAAGTGATATGATAGATCTGACTAAAGGCTAAAACATTAAAGCAGTGTCAGCATTAGGGTGAATTGGCGATTATGTCCTCTACAGCAGCGGTTCTCAAGCATTTTAGCCTGTGACCCTTTAAAATTAAGCAAATTAACTTGTGACCCCTTGTTCAAGGTTTCATGTCTTCATGACCTATGAGCATTTGAAGCAAAGACTGATTTTTGCCCTCTCAGCTTGTTTTATTGCCCTGCAGTACCAGTCTGTCCAAAACTTTGTCATTTGTTGATATTTATGTCCAACACAGGAAGAAGTATGTTGACTTTGGCGAGCCTCTGACTTGACTGTCAGCAGGAAGTCTAAAGTTAAATTTGTCCAATACTTTGGTTTATACCAAATGAGCCAATGACATCCCCATCAGCCTCAGCTGTTCTTTGTGTTTAGTGCCAATTAGCAAATATTAGCATGCTAACACGCTAAACTGAGAATGTGAACATTATACCTGATAAATGACAAATCATTTTACAGAGCAGATGGATGGACCCCCCCCCCCCACCCCCCCCCCCATCTCTCTTAAATTGTTAATCCGCTTGAGACTCTTTGGATGTTGCCTAAATTGGAATCTAGGGATGACTCCAATACTGACCTTATTGATTAGATATCAGGTTTGACTTGTCTAATCAACAATAAACAGTTTCTCTGTCATTGTCATTATGAAATTCAATCTTTTTCCATCAGTTGAATTCATTCAGTCATGCTAACTTAGTTTTTGGTGCCGCAACAATTTCTGGTTCATGTTGCCGAAATAAAAAATGATTCACTTCCACACAGAGTGATGTACAGATCATAAATCTGGGAAAAAGAGAGCTCCGGTACTGGAACAGTACTCTGTATGGGAATTGGAAGAGAGGAAAATTGGATCAGTGATGCACAGTATTGATGCACATCCAAACCAGGACAAAGTTACAGAGACTGTCTGATTTTCTCAGTAATTTATTGTACATTAAAACATTTCCCACAAACCTCCAGCAGCAAAAGCACACTAGAGTGTGTTCATACAGTGATGGGTGCACAGCGGCCATCATCAAAAGACACAATCATTAAAAGTGTCATAGTTATATCATCATCATCATCATCAAAATCATTTTAACCATTAGCATCATCAGCATCACCAGTAACCCAACACCACCTCACGATAATCTCCTTCTTACTATTCAAACAGAAAGTCTTAATGAGGCGGACCGCGCTGAGGTCTGCAACACAGCAAACTGGGGTCAAATTTTAACATTTGTTTTAACCTGCATGAGCCCAGCAGGTTGGGATTTACTTTGGAAGGACATTTTATATAGTGATAGACAGATCAAGAGGATAAAAGTGAAAAATAACTGAATACAGTCCCGATTGTCTAAACCACACATTAATAAATAAAATTCTTTTTCACAAAGCAAGCTCACCAAGTTATCTGGATAAATTTAATGAGTAAATCCCAGAAAACTGACAGACAATGAGCTGTGCCTGGTTTTACTCGGATCACTGCAGATCTGTGCAAGTTAAAACAAACAACCAAGACTAGTTTGGAGATGCTCACAATTTGACCCTAGTTTGCATTATACTGCACATACCGGAATCACATCCTACAAAAACAAGGGCACTGCCCCAATTTTCTTCTAAATGGACAACACAGACTACACATACACTAATGCAGGGATGAGGATGTACAGTGGCAAAGGAAGGGTGAGGTGATCCTTTTGTTTGTTCATTTGTAGATTTCCCGAAGAAAGATCCGTCAAGTTCTCTCGGATTCCAAAGAATTTCATAATAAACACTTTTGGCCACTGCATGGGTTTGCTTTGAGGGCCAGATGGGCTTTATCAAGCACATCCAAAGCTGGATTTAAAATTACAGCTGAAGCACGCCACTCAAACATACCCGTGAACATGCTCAAACACAGACACACACATCTCTCAGTGTGCTGGACTTGGCGGAGGGACAAGAGCCTCTTGGAGTAGATTCTGCAGGACTTGTGTGCAACTAATGATAAACAAGAGCACTTGAGGCACGTGGGGCAAAGAAATAAAAGATGACTTGAGCCTCAGAGGAATTATCAGTGATTTCATCATTATATAACACAGCAGCAGCCAAGGCGATGCCAGGATCACATAAGTTGTGCTCAAGTCAATCCATCCTTCTCCATTTTCCTTGATAATTGCCACTTTCTAAAAACATACAGACTGACTTCATTTACATAAAAGATAGGATTTAAAATAAATGAGAACAGTTGGTCTCTGTAGCTTTTTTCTTTTAAAGCAATTTTCATCTTTAACTTTTCAGATTTTCATATCTGAGAACAACCAGAGGTCTCTGCCTCATGCGGATATCTAGTTAGACAGCATGACTTCATATTCTTTTGATTCCAAGACAAAATGATAAAACATCATGACAGGAAGCAGAAATGTGCTTGAATCCAATCCAATCCACTTAAAGTGGACAAAAAGCCCACATGTATAGTGTATGCTGAAGGCTAGCAAAACTAAAGGAGGCAAAACATGAGCCAGCATGATGAGAGACTCAAACCTTTTAACCCTTAATACGCTAAATACAAATATGAAAGTCCTTACTCCGTCAATAGCAGCATATTTCTTGACAATCTCCACCTCCAAACAGAGCTTCCTATCACGCATGGGTAGGACTGGGCAGTGGATGGGGATGGGCAGCCTATGAACTACTTTTTCATTGATTTAATTTGTCTTAGGTAACGTGCAGAATCATTGGTGCACATGGACGAGGAGCTTTCCTTGTTATGATGAAGACTGAGCAGACAGATGTGGATACGTCTTACAGGAGGAACCAAGTTCATGGTCTCAGACAGAAGTAAAAAGTGCCAACGGACTCGACAAGTTCAAAATAAAGAGCGGACTGCTGTCAATCACATTCCACAAACACAGCTAAGCCGACTGTACAGCACAGAGAAGACACGTGACCAGTCTTCAGTGTCCTGCTTGCCTGGACAGAGAGGGGACGTCAGGTCTGACAAGCCTGGAGCTTAATAATGGGAGTGGTGTCCCCTGGGAGTGTGCAAGGTGGGCCTGGGACAGTCACTTTGAGCGCAGGAATCACTTTTTTTTTCTTTTTTCAAACACGCTGCCACAGACCCCAGGGGAGCCCAGGGGTCCCGCTGTCTCCATTTAGTGTCATCTTTTCAATGAAAGATGTGGAATGAGGCTCAAGTGCAGGCCGTTATCTTATGGTGGTTTCAAGTCACAGAAAATAACAGCACAGGTTTTTAGAGCAACATCAAGCACAATTCTTAACACCGAACTGAAGGAAATAAACATTTCAAACACCCTATTAAACATTTTTTTTTTAATTTTTTTTTTAACAGATTTCTTTAATTATTTTTTCCTTAAGTCCTGAGATTTCACCTACGATGGATTCATCTGTCAGGACAATCAAAACCACAGATGTGTGTAGCTCTTAAAGGCGTACAGTGTTGATTCGCAATGGCTGCACGTTCTTGCCGTTAGCATGGCTCTGGCCGGGGCTGAAATAGGGGAAGACCTTGGCGGGGAATTTCTCTCGGTAGGTGTAGAGCCAGGACATGTCGTCCGCGTTGTAGAAGATGAGCAGGCCTTTCGGGTAGTCCAGATACACCCCCACCTTCTCCAGCTTGCTCTTGACGTTGAGACGGGTCCAGGGCTCGGTGCAGGCACTGTACTGGTTCCCGTCGTGCATGACGATGCAGTAGAAGCCGCGACTGGGCTGGATCTGGATGCTGCCCTTGCGACTGACTGTCTCGTTGGCCACACCGATCATCCACTGGGTCTTCTCCGACACCATCACTTCCCAGTAATGGACACCTGAGGCGAAGCCCTCTGCGCCCAGAACAGACACCTCCACATCAAAGCGGCGCGGGGAGTCCTGCAGCGGCTGCGGATGGAGATTCCCGTAGGCCACGATGGTACAGTCGTCTGAAAGGATCAGTCTTTGGTGGGCTGTGATGGGGTCGAGGGTCAACGCTGCTGGCACTGAGGAGGCAAAGGAAAGGAAGACGAAGACTCAGTATTTACTTTTAAATTCAACAATGTGGAGGGACGACAATCGGCCGAGATAAATGGGATACGTGGATATAAGTAGGTAGGAAAAACAAACACATCAATGTTTTACGACTCAGCTTGGCCAAACAGAAAAGTAAGGAGTGCAGTGTCATTCTCAGCGCCTTCTTTATCATTGCAGAGCAGTTTTATGCTGAGGCGGTCCGTAAATACACCCCGGCTGCTCAGCCACTTCACAGGAGAGGTGAGGTCAAGGTAGAGAATGGATCTCTGAAATGCTCCCGGTGAGAAGATTGCAAAAACAAAAAGACACCGTCTGAATGAAAGAATATATACTGAAAATATACACTGAAGATTATAAGTTCTGACCGAGATGGCACTGAAAATGACGATCTCATTTACATGTCTCTGAGGTTTCCTGCCTCCATCCTAAAGAGCAATCTGCAAAGAGAGCACTTTCTGAGGCACGTTTAATGTCCATAACCCACCTGCCTCACAGAGCAGACTGGCTTCCATTTTATCGAATGTATCAATCTACATGAATCCTGTGTGATGGAGTCACCGCATGACCCCCTGTGTTTTTATATGCTCCATTTCTATTTTTTCCCCCCTGGTGCACATAATATCCACAGGCAGCTTTTCAAATATCCAGCTGTTATATGCTGTGAACTTATTACTGGCATCCATAATGATTGATTAAGGCACCAATCAGGATAAGCTTTCTGGTTTCACAATATATTTCGCCCCGCCACAGTAGGAAATAAAATCAGTAACTCAATAAATAAAAAACATGTTTTCTTTCTGTCTACTCCGTATGGAGACTACATGAGAAATGGTTTCGTGCAGTCAACACTGCTGTCAGTCAGTCCGTACAGCTCACAGGTTAAATAGAGGTAAGAAATAGCACTTTTGTGATGCTCAAGCTTTTAATAAATATTCCCAGTAAGAAAGTGGAAGTGTGTGTGTGTGTGTCCAGGTTACTCTGGATGATCTGATCACTCATTGGCAGAACTACTTTCTACTAAACAATCCCCTGGTATTAGGACAGTACTCCGCTTATATTGGTGGTGACACTGGTGGTGGTGAATGGATTAGCACTGTCGCCTCACAGCAAGAAGGCTCTGGGTTTGAACCCTGGTTTCGGTCGGGGCCTTTCTGTGTGGAGTTTGAATGTTCTCCTTGTGCCTGTGTGGGTTTCCTCGGGTACTCCAGTTTCCTCCCACAGTCCAAAGACATGCAGCGACTCTGAATTGCCCGTAGGGGTGGAAGTGAGCATGAATGGTTGTTTGTCTTGCGTTAGAGCAGGGACCTGTACAGTGTACCCCGCCTCTCGCCCAGTGTAATCTATACGTAGTGGGGTTGAGCGTGCCGATTCATTACTTTTCACTTTACTTTTTCATTGCTTCACAAACAAAACTGTTTAGGAGTGGAGGATATCAGATATAACCTTGACAATTAAACCTAATCTCCATGTCAAAATAACACTAGAGGTACTGTAAGTGAGATGATATGTTTCAACAATTTGGCTGAACCCCTTCAGACCAGCAACCTGGTGGAAACATTACAGTATATATATCATTGCTGCCAGAGTTAGAGGAGGTGACCAAAGCCGTGCCCTGCGGTAAAAGATGATGGATGGCTTGTTATTATACTGCACACCCAACTGCTGCACAACTCTTATTTCAGGAAAATGAAACAAGGAGTTATGCAACGAGTAGTACTTTGAGTACGCCACGATACATTTTTTATAATCTGTTTTTACCTTCATGCATAAACTAGAGTCTTTTATAGTCAAGTGCTCTCCTGAGTCTGATAGGGTAGCTCATTTTGAGCAATATCAGACCACGTGAAGAGTGCAAACAATACAGTGAAGCAGTAATTACAGCGATGGGAGGAGCAGCTCCAGCTCGCTCCGCAGGCTCCGGGCTGGAAGGTGGCTGTTTCTCAGTGTTATGTTTCTCAGTTATGTGGTTTGGATATGGAACCATATCAGGCTGAACAATAACGGGTTGTTCCCTTTGCTCTCTTTAACGTAGAGGAGACTCAGGAAAGAGTGGGAAAGGCATCTTTCCAAGTTTGTCTGTATATTTATCAGCCGGGATAAATGGAGGTGAAATGTCTGGCGGCCAGCCAGCGGACAGGACAATGCCTTCTGCAGTCAATGACATCTCCAGTGTTTGTTACAATCAAGTCATCAAAATTTCATAACCCGAGTGCCTCTTTGTGCCACGCAGAGCAACATGCAAGCACACACACATCAGCGGAGAAGCCATTTTTGCTGCTGAACATGAGAGGGGAAAAAAAAAAAAAAAAAACCCAACGGCGTCTGGTAGTTATTCCCGCTAACCCATCGGTGACAGCGAGGGCTGAGGGATGATGGGAGGAATGTCTTTGTTGCGTCTCTGGCAACCGCTGGTGATGGATCGTAACCAATTGTTCCATTTGGCAGCCACTCAAGGGAGGCCAAAAAAAAAAAAAAACTGCCTGGCCTCCCTTCAGCTGGCAGCGGGCTGAAAATGGGAGGATTGATTGAGGGAGTAAAAAAAAAAAATTCCTCAGCACATTATTTTAAATAATCTCCTGTGAGAAAGTGATAGCTGTAGGGCAGAGGGAGTAGAGCCGCTCTCGGCACTGTCAACCGCAGCAGGGCATCGCCGCCCTCCAGGTCCCACCATCATTTCTCATCTGAGGACGGAAAGTAGTTCAAAAGCATCCCCGCAATATTAATGCAGGCTCACTCCACCTGGCCAAGAAACAGACTGGCACATAACTCTCCATAAAAGTATAATGAAATAAAACAAACAAAAAAAAAAAAAAAAAACACAGTGTTGTTTTTACACTGTGATTTTTGTAAAGATTAAGCAAACAAGATATAACATGTTAGAGAGCTTTCGGTGTTTCAGACAGAGCCAGAAATGGTTCCCTGTCTTCATGCTTAGTTAAGGCATCCATCTATCTTCCAGCTGTAGTCTTATATTTAATGGACAGATATGCGAGTGAGCGAATAATCATAGTTCCCAAAACTATTCCTTAAACACCTGCAGCCCTTCACACTGGATTCCACACTGTATATTTACTCACTTGCATGTTTAAGTTACACATATGTCAGGTTTCACTCATGTTCACATACTGTACCTGGTGAAATATCCTGGAAGAGCGACTTCCATATTGTGTACTGTAAGGGCCCCATGTACTTGGATGTTGGGAAGTCTTCATACGTCAGATTGGTCTCATGTATCTTCCCTTTAATCCTGCAACAGAAAAACAGATCAATAACAGTCTAAATCCAATTTTCTGCTTTTTCCAAACAATGGTGGCTCTTATTCAACCCACAATGCCGAAGCGTCGCGTAATTAATCTGGTTTGTGTGTCTGAACTGTGCTGTTATTGACGTTAAAACAGCTTACAAACTGCTTCATGAAAAAGAGATGAATACATCAGAGAGGGCGTGCAGGGAGGGGGTTCAGCTCTAACGCCAATACAATATGATTCAATATGATGAACCTCTGCATGAATCATTCAGTGCACTCCTACATGTAGTCCAGAGTTCAGGCAAGACACTCAGTGGGTTGCTTAGCACACTGAAAACCTCAGTCACACCACAGTATGTTGAAAAAGGGAGCTTACACATGTCCTGTAACATCAGGCTACTTGGGAGATATTGCTTGAAAATAAGGAATGAAAAATGTATATTCCGATTTTTCTGCAAGTGCCATTTCTAGGGTGCTCCAGCAGTGCATTGTTTTGAATGATACGAGTTCGTCTGGGGTTTTCGTGTGACTTTAAGATCTTTCATTACAAGACATGGTAGTGAAACCATCACCGTCCACCTGGATGAATCCACTTGAATGCGAGGGTGTAGAGATGGGTAGGTAAGGTGTATCAATGCTCTTTGGTATTGACTCTACAAATTGGGGGATTTCTGCAGGAGGGATGATGAAAAGCTTTTTATCTCTTCATTTGGTTTTCTGATGACGGTGATCGAGAGCATGTGCTTTGTTCTGTAGTCTTTGGTCTTATTTGTTTCCTTTAATGTATAACATTAACATACCCAGGCACTGCAGATGAAAACTTGACTTTGGGTTAAATCTGACATATTTGCATCATACTGATATCAACTCATGTGTGTTGTCCCTGATAAATAAATGAATAAAGTGCTGTCTCCCATAGGTCCTTAAATGTGATCCTGAATCCATCCAGCGGCCTCATGTGCCCTGCATCTAGGCATCTGCATTTGTTATGTTTCTCTACTTAGCTACTAGGTTTTGTCCTTTAATTCGTGACCTGCCTGTACAGTGCTATTGATCGCCTGACAGCAACACTATTATGTGGTCAGTGCAATGAGGTGACACAGTTTAATGAAGATTGTCTTTTCTTGGTCTTGGAAGATGGACTAGAGGCTGGGTTTAATTTACTGACTGTAAGGTGTGCAACATTTCAAATTCATCACCAGTGGAAATACACATACCACAGTTTCCAAACTGATAGGAAATTGGGACCAAACATTTTCCGGTACCCAAGTTTGAGGAATACTGTGAAATATTATTTTTCTCCCATGTGACAAAACATGCTCCACTGCTTAATGTTGTTATCTAGCTTTGAAGAAAAGTCTCAAATTAGGAAGGTTTGCTCTTTTCCCGATTTGGATGAGAAAATGTCTAATGAATATGAGGGAAAAAAAATTAAAGAGAAAGAGTCTCGCCCTGCACTCGATACTTGACCATTTTTGATTGTCAGTGTTACAGATGCTACATTTTGGTACCAAACCCTACTAATCTCCGGGGACAGTTCTTGCCGAGTGAACTGTTCAATTGAATCGTGCTCCAGTACCCCTCCCTGATTAAACATTACAGCTGGTTCATTTCAGGCCTAATACTCCATCTGTTCAGGGATTTGCTGACGCTGTTGCTCAAATTTGTACTTTCTACAAAATGTAAGCAGCCGTTAAGCCAAATTTAGCAAGTTATCAGCTGTCGGTTATCAAGAATTATCATTATAACAATTTTACTCCCTTTTTAGATAAAGTGTTGATACATGACTTGAGTTGACAACACCTGATCCTTCTTGGACTAAAAGTGTTTTTTATTTTCTTATGGGACTGCGGTGATGAAACAAGGACTGTTTTGCAAGGTCTGGGCAGGAGAAGCACCTCTCAGACGTGACGGCTACTCCCTCCAGGAAGTCGTGTCGTCCTGTCTCATTGAGGCGCTCCTGCAGGATCTGGATGCCCTCCTTGACGTCGCGCAGCTGCTGACTGTAGCGCTGGATCTTGTGCTCGATGTCGGCGAGCTTGCGGGCCGTATCCATCTCTAACTCTTCCAGCATGCTCTTCTGACGCTCGCGCAGGAAACGGTGAAGGCGCTCGAATGCATCTCCGATGGTTGCGCGCAGACTTTTGGCCGAGGACTGAAACACAAGTCAAAAGATGATTTAGTAAAAAAAAAAAAAAACACACCTTCATCTTGGATATTTTCTAACTGCCATAACAGGACTGTGACATAGACTTTGTACCACAGTTAGCTGGGTTTGTTGAGTGTTTCAGTTACAATTGCCTGCCTCCTAATTACATAACAGTCAGTAATTCAAGGGCTGACAAAGTGCTCTAAATTGTGTTAATATTACATTAACATTCATTCATTGATTCAGCTTGTACATGCATCGATTTGAAGTGGTTCTCCAAAAACAGTCAAAGTACAACCTTCTAATGAGAAAACTTTTACAAAGAAACAAACCAGAGTAATAGTGATAACCCAAAAAGAAGAGGTCAAGGAGGAGGAGGAGGGGGGCACAAAGGGTGTCTGTGAAGCTGAGTGGTTACAAGGCCGGCAGACAGGCAGAAAAGCAGAAGTCATTACAGTCACAGTCAAGCACTTTGCAAGGGACAGCAGGCTGAGAGCTGAAGAAACTGATTTGTTGCTGAAGAGGAAAAATGGGGAGTTGGACATCAAAGAGAATGAATCATCTGAGTGTTAGCAGTCCGAGTGTCTGAGAGACAGAACAAAGGGGTGTGATGTGAAAACCCTGTACAAATCGCACAGAGGATCCTTTCGACTGGAAGCTTCTGAGGAAAGCAAAGACTGGACTTCAATTCAGACATTTAGCGAAAACTTTCCCTGTCCGTCTCTTGCAGTCATCATTTTATACAAAAATGTTGGACTTGTGTTTGTGCACGGACTCTAAAGAAGTCCAAACATCTGGCCATCAAAGAGCAACTGAGAAAATTAATGACTACTGAATCACAGTGAAGTTCATCTAAACAAGAATTTCAGATTAATCTTGTCTGTACAAAACCTTAGATGAATGAAGCCTTTAACTGAGGACAGTTTAAACCGCTCCTCTAATCTTTAAATGAGGAGCTGGATTTGGGAACTGTGATCTGAGGTTTAATTACACTTGCCTAAAAATTCAATCAATCCCCTCCAAACAGCAGGCATGTTTCTCCTGTTCTCTCAGAGACCAGGGGCAGGAATTCTCTCTCTGCATGTGGGAACCTATTCAGATGACGATTTCTCTGCAAGCATGAGGGCTATGACATTCAGGTGGGCTGCATCCCAGCATCCTCCCACCTACTTAAGAGCTGAAAACTGGTGGTAAGGAGGAGGAGGACTGCAGCAGCCTTGCTATCAGTCTCAGTGACATGCCTGCTGCTTTGGCCCAGCAGGCATGTGACGGCACTGAGAAGGAGTCTGCAGCCCTTGGAGACAGGACGCTAGCTACCTTTTAGGGAAGCATGTGATTATCAAGCGAATCCCCGGTGGGGATGTGAATAGGACACAATGTCTATCCTTCAGACGGAGATCCAACCAAGCACACACAAGCCAAGAGCTCAAATTGGAGTGCAAGGAAAGCACATTCAGTTAAAATGGGAGCTGGGCTGCTGCAGTGCTTTTCTTCTCAATCTTATCCTGCATTCATGTGGTGTCGGAGTAATCGGAATAATGAGTTTCCAATGAGGAAAAATTCACGTGAACGCCTCCTCAAGTCGGAACAACAACAACTCGGAATGTTGGTGAAAATTTTGGTGCACAATTTGCCGAGTTGTTGAGGTCGTATTCGCAGGAACATGGCGGATGAAACTAAATGTTATGTTGATGGTGAGAAACATATTGCATATCATTTTTTTGCTAAAATGTAATTTTTAATATGGCATTAGGTTGTAACTGTTGACCTAGATTAATTAGAAAAGTTATTTATTAGCAGTAACCCTGATATTAGGTAACACAAATACTGGAAACAGCTATCAACATGTTGTTTTGACACTATGAGCAATACAATACAATACAGCACATCTTCTTCGTAGCATTAATGTTGTTAGAACACACCGAAGTCGGAAGAATGACTTCCCAATTCGGGAAATGGAACAATCTGAGGAGCACATGAATGCAGCATTAGTGCAAGAACTGAAATTCAGCTCAGTCATGAACATTAAAGATACACATCAACACATCTTTTAGGAACAATAAGGTAAAAAAAGAAGAAAAATAACTTCAGGCAAGCTCACATTTAGCAAGATGAAGAAGCTATGCAGGGAGACATTTCATTATCGGCAGCCTAAATGCATCAGGGATCAATGCAGTCACAGTGCGTCTCTCTTCCAGGCAGAGCACTCTGCAAATGGATGTAAATCTAATGAGAACAGCTCATTTCCAATGAGGAATGGGGGGCAGCTGAAAGGCCTGCATCTAGCAGTCAGACTGAGTCTGGCAGCAGAGGGTACTGCAGTGCAGAACCTGGACAGAAAGATGGGTGATGTGGTGACATTGGACAGCAGGTAGAAAAACAGGTCCCTAAATGACAAATAGCGCTGACGGCTGCGACATCGTCTCTGCCAGACAGCCTTACCTGGGTGATAGCTTCAATGTCACTACAGGAGAGAGAGAGATATATGTGTGTGTGTGTGTGCGTGTGTGTGTGTGAGGGGTTGTGCGACTGACATATTGAGTAGATGCTCATGGCTGGCTGATTAAAACAAGGTGTCGAGATTAAACAGCCACTCAATAAACCAATTTACGTGTGGGAATTTAACTGTCAGTCCAGATCAGTTAGGAAGGAAGGTGGATAGTCAGTGACTGAAAGACTGCACACATTAAACAGACCTGTCCTTTACTTTTATGAACCTGTGTTACTGAGGTTAGTTATTGAATGTTCCTGTTGCCATTTGGATGCTGAAGATTCAAGCAAGGATGTCGTGCTTCTGTAGATACCTACACGCTCTGTTACGACTGACTTTCGACAGCATTTGTTGCTGCAGAATTACTTGTTAGATCAAAGTGGGAATTAAAGTGACTACTCACTTGTTTCTTGCTTAATCATTCCTTCTTACAAAATGACAGAAAATAAGTTTATTCATCATTCTTTACGTTCAGATTTTTTCCTCTATGCCGACAGTAAAAGAAGAATCTTCAGATTTTAAACTGTTCATCAGACAAAAGGCATTTGAAGACGTCACTTTGGGCTATTTTATAAACTATTTCCTGACTTTTATCGATTAATGATTAATAGGGAAAATTATTTGAAGACTACTCACTACTGAAAATGATCATTAGTTGCAGCCCTACCAAAGATATTCAGTTTATTATTGTAAAGGACAAAAACCGGCCTGTTCACAATCAAGAGGCTTGGGAATAACTGGCCTTTGTTTCTTAAGAAATTACTCCAGCAATCAATGTTCAAAATAGTAGCTGAGTCTTTTGATTTACTAACTGATTATATCAGCAAATAGTTTCAGCTCTAGACCAGAGCTCCTGAAATGTAGAGATTTTCTGCTAACCTGTTTTATTTCTTTGTTAATTTAATATTTTTGGACTGACATTACCCTGGGAAAATGTGTTGGACATTTTTATAAACTATACTGATAATGAAAATGATTTTCTGTGGCAGCCCCACGGGCTACAATCGGTGCTGGTCCAGCTCTGTAAATGATATATTTTGTGTTAAAAATGTTACAGTACCTTGGTCTCAGTGAGTTGTCTCTGCAGGAGCTGCAGGGCCTCGGTGTGTCCCTTCTCACTGTCCTGCAGGGTGGCCAGCTGCTCCTTCATCTCCCTCTGCAACACAAACAACAGGTCACTAACCGGTGCCTGGACTTTACTACGACACAACTGTGGAACTAAATTCAATTAGCTGATGTGATTTCAGGTCCATTTTAAACGTTCAACTACTTGTTTGCTCAAATAACCTTTCAAACACAAAGTCAGTTACATAAAAATAACACCAATGTATTTGGCAGACACATTTTTGCAAATCTAACCTCTATTCTATTTATTTAAACTGCATTATTTGTATAACAGCTCTCTTTGCTTTGGTACAAGGCGGCAAAGATTTAAGCCTCAGCTACAAAGCAAGCAAGGCAGACGGAGAGCGAGATATGAAAGGGATCAAATGAAATCTCCGGAGGTATTGGTCTGTGTCAGAGAAAACTGGGTCTCATCTCTAGTCAGGAACACACTGGCAGAACCTGCACCATTCAGTCACCTCCAAGTCTCCCCAAGGCAGGAGGGAGGGCTCTGCAGGAGCTGGCTGGGATGGCTACTGTCACGAATGGTGCCGTTTTTTTTTTTTTTCTTTTTTCCTCCAGTGCATTCAGATTTAGGTTTTTGGACAGAAATGGTTCAGCAGATGTACTAACTTCAGTACAGACTTGGATATAATACAAACAAACAAATGTGCAATGTACAGAACTCTACAGCCCTGCACTTTGCTCATCAGTACTTGGCTGATGATTCATACTAAGCAACTGATGACAAATAAGCAAGTAGAAAGTTTGAAATTCAGTGTCTTACTCAAAAACCTGAATCTGTTGATCGGACGTGTTGGTTCTTGAGAAAATTGAAACTGATGTCATTTTGGGTCTCGGGACGGTCCCACGGCTCTGTGAGGCTGTATTCAGGTAGATGCTAAAACACCAACTTGCTCAGAATAGTGATGCTAATATTCTGACATTTAACAGGCATGATATTACCCATTTTAGGTTAGCATGTTAGCATGTGGTGCTACATGAAATGTCATAAGATCACCAAAGTCAGTGAATATCATCTTGAGATGGACATGAATGTTCAAGACAATCCATCTAAAACTTGTCAAAATATTTCACTTAAATCCACAAAGATGAACCTCGTGGTGGTGCTGGAGGAAAAGTAAGAGGATCACCAAAGTTAGCGTGAGTTATCCTCCGAGGATCATGAATGACGGAACTGACTGAAATAGTTGTCGAGATAATTTAGTCTAGATTAACCAACCGACATTGCGACGAGACCCATTTTTCTCTAATCCCTACAACTATGCCACTAGTGTAATCAAAAAGGTTTATGCCACCTTTTTTTACATTGATCTTTGATGATAAAATATTATTTTTGAAGTGATAGAAGATAAAGACACAACCAGATGAAAAAAAACTGGGTAATAAAGCGTGGTGTGTTGAAGAAGAGTTGTGCAAGTTTAATTTTGAGAGTTTTCCTCAACATCTGCAGGGAATCTGACCTGATTTATGAACTGGGATAGAGGCACTCCTAAATCACAAACTGATTTCAATACTGTGGCCTCCTTTAATCATTTTATTTGTTATGCTTATGTGTTTGAGCAAAGAAACTATATCAGAGCAAACGAGTGGTATTCTCTGCTGTTTATAGAGAAAAAAAAAAAGACCAGCAAAGATGAAATATAACAGACATTTTTCTGTATGAAGATGCATTGCACCATGGACCTGCCCTTTGTCAAACTGATGGATGGTGGATTCTGTTTTAACCCAATCTGAGCTGGAACCACCACTTTATTTATTGAGTTGGCAGAATATTAAAACCTGAGCTATCCATCGCCATAATCATGACTGGAATTCAACAAAAAAGTTTTATGAAATTAAAAACCTGAAAAAATTAACATCAGGGGAAAGAATTCAGTTACGCTCAAATGATACCTTTGCCATTTGCCAAAATTTTAAACAAGAAAATGGACGGAAATTAATTATACACAGCGCAGCTCCACATTGAACTAACTATGCATTGGACAAAATCCTCCTACATACAGTGACCATACATGTGTAAAAATGGCACCATTTCATTTGCTCTGATTCCAGGAGGAAATTAAAAATTGAATCAAATGAAACAACCTGACACAAGCCTCATTTATTTCAAAACGTGCTTAAGCCATCCTGCTGCCTGGTCTCTTTGCTAATGTAACCTGTGTGTCACCTTCTCTGTGACCCACAAAGTGTCAGCTCCCGTCAACACCGACCGCAGCAAAAACCCACCAAATGGAGCCATCAGCTTAGCAGGGCTAATAAAAACAAGCATCACTCAGCTACCGGGCTGAAATGAATGCCAGAATAAATCTAATAGAATAGGAAAAAACCATAATAATATAACAATCTAGTCTACAGGGACAAAAAAGGTTAAAGTACCATTCGGAAGGAGATAATAAGCCATGCATCAATTTGTTTCTTGACCTCGATCATTAGCTGCAAAATTAAAAAGGAGCAGTGGGTTGTGTGGGCTGCTGAAGTTGAAGCATGTTTCTTCTCAAGGACAGAAACAGAGGAAAACAATGGTTGGTGCAGAGGGGGAGCGTGACTCTCCATGTTAATGATAGGAGTGCGGCAGGCTCAGCAGGCTCTCCGCCTCATCGCTACACGCTTGTCTGCAGCAGGTCAAAGGCCGCTCCCACACACTGAGATAGACCAACACTGACAGACTGGCAGAGGAAACATGCTCCTCCACACTTCTGCTTTCGCATCGTCTGATTGACCGGTCAGAGAAGGGCAATGTTAACTGTTGCTGCCGTCACACCAACAGACGGATGCATCGACATGAACCCAAACGTCTCAGAACACCCAAAGTCCTCTACAGAACGTTTCTTTCAATGAACTAAATGTTAAATTCACATTGTCTCGGAGTTTTGCATCATCCTCTGCACTAGCACTTGTCGCTAACATATGCTAAACACATTGGAGAACATGTGTACGTTGAGCTGAATTTAAGCAGGCAAAGCTGCATTTTAGAAACAGCAAAAATCAGCCTTGGTGGAATCATCTTCATACACTTCAATCCCCTGAACCTCCTCCATAACATGCAATTACATAATCCTCTTTAATCTTCCTGGAAGCAAAAACCGTCCTTTGAGCATCCTACAGAGGGAGATTTCCTGTAATGACTTTCCTAGCAAAAACTGGAGAGAAAAGGCACAGCTGTGGTGTCCATCACCAACACATATGGACAAGAAATTGTATCTGAATTAGATGTAATTTACACTCATCTAGAGGAAAAAGTGTGCATTATGGCGAGCAGACCATCATTAAGTGACAAAACAAAAGCAAGTCCTGCAGGTGGATGAATGCTGGTACAGGCAGAGACTGTGACAGGGAAATTTGTGTGTGTGCAAGCAGTATGTGAGTGTGTGTTTTCGTTTTGTATGTGGAGGCGTCTCTCTCCTGTCCATCACATCTGGCCAACACAAGTCTGACATGACATTTCCCCAGGTCGTAAAGTTGCAGGAAATGGGGGGGGGTGGGTGTCACGGCTTTGGGATTATAAACCTAAAACTCATTTCATCCTGCTGTCATTTCCTTCCTCTTCCAGCATTCTTGGGTAGATATATACTATATATAAATGAATAAAATAATAGGCTTCAAGTTCCTTCGAAAGTGTGTACGAGGCTTCAAATTCCTCAAACTTTCCTTACAGCTGTGAGCTTGATTATATTCAGCAGCTCGTTCAGGATTTAAAGAGCGTTACTGGCTTCAAACTGCCAGCGCAGATGAGGAGGCGAACAAAACAACATGCAGCAGTGTCACAGCATGAATAATAAAAAGCCTACAGGATGGAGAACTTCCTCTCGCACACAGACATGAATAGCTTCCAGTGATTTCATTCAAACTGATGACAGGAAAAAAATAAACAGAGAAAACTTGCAACTCATCTTCTTACTGGAAGACGCACCGAATGCAGAGCCAATATGCTACTTAGACTTACAATTGCAGTGGGATCCCTTTCATCGGTTTATCATTAAGCAGAGAACGCAAACCCAAGCAGAGCCCACAATAACTCAATGTACTGCAAGTGATTTTCACAGGGACAGTCTGGCATAACCTTCATGGAGCTGAGGGTGTAATTCTGTAATGCAGATAACAGGGTGAGTAAATAAGACGCCAGCCAATAACACAGCAGTGAACATACTGCAGCTGTTACAGTCAGCCAGTAAGCTTTACGGGCTTGTTGTGATTTAGCATAGACCAGGTCTGAAATATATGTCCCACACCGAGAAGTCGCTCACACCAAGGTACAGCGTCAAATGGGCAACAACATACCATGATGCAATACCACCTGCAAGTACATGCACACATTACACACTCACGGCCATTAACTCTGCATTAAGTGAATTTTCCTCATCATTAGTAGATATTTGATTTTATAAGGAGTTTAAAAACCAAAATACTGTTAAAGATATCTGCTGATTGTGAGCTCTAAGAAAAATCTCCCCGTCTGTATGTGAGCAGCGTGTAGCCTTTATAGTATATAAATAAACACATTTTGTTCAGTTAAGTGCTGCATGACTTGTTTAGTAATTGGGGCCATACAGTGATGATGGTGCAGGATGACATCACCAAAATTGTCCAATCAGTGAGCTGCTTGTCTGTCTATATGATCTCATGCTTAGAGCTCTTGGTCTACTTGTAATAAGCATGCACGTATTAAGTGAGATGAATACAGCATTGCCACTCAGCTTCGCTGCCGATTCATCCTAGATTTTGTACAATAACCCAGAAGTCCAAAAAGCATTTTCCCCATGGACAAATAGGAAAGAAAACTGTTGACAGGATGCATCAAATTGCGAACATGGTCAGTTAAAACTCTTTCCCAAAGCCTTTATTTGCGTGACATCATCCCAGTGTAAAGTCTTTGGGCAGGGTGCATGCACTATTCTATTCTTGGCTCATGTACCAGGTGAGAGTTTTTCAGTGGGCGCCGTTTGAGTCCAGTATCCAGTTCCTTTAATGTGTCCATGGTAATAAGTCACTGTGAACATTAATTAAACCTTTTTTTTTTTTTGTTGGACC